AGTTGCCCCTACAAGAGAAGCCTCCCACAAGGATGATAAAAACATCAAATCATCCAGGCATCCCCCTGTGCAACGTCCTTGCAGACGGCCAATTCTCTCACACCATAGAATCATAGAATCAAAGAGTTGGAAGAGACCTCGGCCATCCAATCCAACCCCCTGCCAAGAAGCAGGAATACTGCATTCAAATCACCCCTGACAGATGGCCATCCAGCCTCTGTTTAAAAGCTTCCAAAGAAGGAGCCTCCACCACACTCCGGGGCAGAGAGTTCCACTGCTGAACGGCTCTCACAGTCAGGAAGTTCTTCCTCATGTTCAGATGGTATCTCCTTTCTTGTAGTTTGAAGCCATTGTTCCGCATCCTAGTCTCCAGGGAAGCAGAAAACAAGCTTGCTCCCTCCTCCCTGTGACTTCCTCTCACATATTTATACATGGCTGTCATATCTCCTCTCAGCCTTCTCTTCTTCAGGCTAAACATGCCCAGCTCCTTAAGCCGCTCCTCATAGGGCTTGTTCTCCAGACCCTTGATCATTTTAGTCGCCCTCCTCTGGACACATTCCAGCTTGTCAATATCTCTCTTGAATTGTGGTGCCCAGAATTGGACACAATATTCCAGGTGTGGTCTAACCAAAGCGGAATAGAGGGGTAGCATGACTTCCCTGGATCTAGACACTATGCTCCTATTGATGCAGGCCAAAATCCCATTGGCTTTTTTTGCCGCCACATCACATTGTTGGCTCATGTTTAACTTGTTGTCCACGAGGACTCCAAAATCTTTTTCCACTCGTACTGTTCTCAAGCCATGCATCCCCCACCAGAAGCGACTTGCAGTTTCTGAAGTCGCTCCTGACACGACCTGAATCATGCCCTGAATCTGAATTCCTATATTACATTACTGTATTTTAAAGTTAAGATCCTATTTAATTGCTCTGTTTCCATGCTATTTCCTATGCTACAGGCATATAGCCGGGGGGGGGGGGCTTGAGGGGCTTCAGCCCCCCCCCCCCCCGAAATTCTCAGGGTGGTCCGTGAGAAGGCCTTACTGGTACATTATTTAAACTGTTATGTTTATTCATATCATGATCTGATCACCATGCTCAATATATCCCATATGCATGGGGTATTGGGATAATGATACAAAAGGTTTGCTAGGGTAGACCCTCAGCCCCCCCCCCCCCCCGAATCAAAATCCTTTCACAGATATGGCTATTTACTTTCAGAGTCCCCAATCCTTTAACCCAGGGGTCCACAAACTTTTTAAACAGAGGGCCAGGTCACAGTCCCTCAAACTGTTGGACGGATTATAATTTCAAAAAAACATGAATGAATTCCTATGCACACTGCACATATCTTATTTGTAGTGCAAAAACACTTTAAAACAATATAATAATTAAAATGAAGAACAATTTTAACAAATATAAACTTATTAGTATTTCAATGGGAATGCTTTTGGCTGTTGAGATAGGATTGTTGTTCTTGTGTGCTTGCAAGTCGTTTCAGGCTTAGGTTGGCCCTAAGCGAGGGCCAGGTAAATGACCTTGGAGGGCCGTATCCAGCCCCCGGGCCTTAGTTTGAGGACCCCTGCTTTAACCAGTTCGTATAGTGGCCTCTTCTCCCCCTCCAAAATTAGTCTGCTTTTGCTCTTGATGCTTGTTCATTATTGTTGAAGGCTTTCATGGCTGGAATCACTAGGTTCTTGTGGGTTTTTTTGGGCTATAGGGCCATGTTCTAGAGGCATTTCTCCTGACGTTTCGCCTGCATCTATGGCAAGCATCCTCAGAGGTAGTGAGGTCTGTTGGAATTAGGACAATGGGTTTATATATCTGTGGAATGGCTGGGGTGGGGCAAAGAGCTCTTCTCTGCTGGAGCTAGGTGTGAATGTTTCAACTGACCACCTTCATTAGCATTTGAAGGCCTACCTGAGCCTGGGAAAATCTTTTGTTGAGAGGTGTTAAGATGTGCCTGGTTGTTTCCTCTCTGCTGTTTTGCTGTTGTAATTTTAGAGTTTTTTAATACTGGTAGCCAGATTTTGTTCATTTTCATGGTCTCTTTCTTTCTGTTGAAATTGTCCACATGCTTGTGGATTTCAATGGCTTCTCTGTGTAGTCTGACATGGTGGTTGTTGGTGTGGTCCAGCATTTCTGTGTTCTCAAATATGCTGTGTCCAGGTTGGTTCATCAGGTGCTCTGCTATGGCTGACTTCTCTGGTTGAAGTAATCTGCAGTGCCTTTCATGTTCCTCGATTCATGTTTGGGCAATGCTGCATTTGGTGGTCCCTATGTAGACTTGTCCACAGCTGCATGGTACACAGTAGACTCCTGCAGAAGTGAGAGGATCCCTCTTGTCCTTTGTTGAACGTAGCATTTATAGCATAATGATTTGAGTGTCGGACTATTTGTATGTTGTGTTTCCTCATAAGTTCTATTTAGTGTTTTTAAAGTTGTTTTTGTAATTGTGATATATGATATTTTAATGAGTGTATCTGTTTTTTATGGCTGGAAACCGGGCTGAGTCCCTCAATGAGGTTGAGAAGCTCGGTATAGAAAACTGTGAAATAAATAAATAAATAAATAAATAAATAAATAAATATGCGGTCAGTGGTTCCCTTGGTGTATGGCAGGAACACTTTCTGGACTGTGGACTTTGCAGCTGTGGACAAGTCTACATAGGGACCACCAAACGCAGGAGAAATGCCTCTAGAACATGGCCCTATAGCCCGAAAAAAACCCACAAGAACCTTGTTCATTATTGTTTATGATGTTTTATGCTATTTTAACTTGTTATTGTACTGTTTTTAATTGTATGTTGCCTTAGGCTTGGCCCCATGTAAGCTGCCCCGAGTCCCTTCGGGGAGATGGAGGCGGGGTAGAAAAATAAAGTTGTTGTTCTACTTTTTCCGCTTCTCCTGCTCCCGCTTCTTCTTCTGCTGCTGCTGCTGCTTCTTCTTCTGCTGCTTCTCCTGCTGCTGCTGCTGCTTCTTCTGCTGCTGCTGCTGTCCAATTAAGGGACCCTCTTCTCCCTATTCTGGGCATCACTCGTGTCCAAGTATGATTGCCTTCCAAGTGTACTGCCTTGGCAGTGGGTCCGTAGTTCATTGTATTGAGAAAGCATGGGCAAACTTGGGCCCTCCGGGTGTTTTGGACTTCAACTCCCACAATTCCTAACAACCTCAGGCCCCTTCCTACTCCCCCTCAGCCACTTAAACTGAGGCCCTTAGGAATTGTGGGAGCTGGAGTCCAAAACACCTGGAGGGCCCAGGTTTGCCCAGGCCTGGTATAGACCTATTGTGGATCCGCAAGTCTACTAATAAAAACATCTAGATCCTTTCCAGATGTACTGTGTTCAAGCCTGGTGTCAACCATCCTATGTTTGCGCATTTCATTTTTCCCCCTAAGTGTGGTAGCTTACATTTATGCCTATTGAAGTTCATTTTGTTAGTTTTGTTCTAGCTTTCCACTTCGCCAAGGTCATATTGGGCTCTGATTCTGTCAGCTGAAGTATTACCTATCCCTCCCAATTTGGTGTCATCTGCAAATCTGATAATCATTTCTGATATCTAAGTAGTTTATGAAGATGCTAAGCAACATCTGACCCAAGCCAGATCCATGAGGCATGCACGAGTTACTTCTCTCCAAGAAAAGCAACCATTTGTGAAAACCTTGAGCTAGTTTTGTCAGCCAATTACAAATCTATCTAATAATTCTTGCTTACAAGAATATCACAGGAGACCTTGTGGAAACCCCTATTGATATCAAGATATACTTACATTAACAGCACTCCCATAATCTATCAAAGATGTAATGCTACCAAAAAAGAGGTAATTTGGTATGACTTTTTAGAAACCCATGTCAGCTTTGAATAATTCAATGTTCCTTTTTAAATACTGAATGCACAGAGCTTGTTAATGTGTTCGAGGACTTTTCCAGGAATTGACATTACTCTGACTGGTCAGAATTCATATTCTCTTTTTGGCTATTTAAAGAGAGGGATGCCCTCCAGCCAGGCATGTAGCTGGGGGAGGGGGGCTTTGGGGGCTTCAGCCCCCCCCCCCCCCAAATTCTCATGATGGTCTGCGAAAAGGCCTTGTATATTATTTAAACTGTTATGTTTATTCATATCATGATCTGATCACCATGCTCAATATATCTCATGTATGGCAGTATTGGGGTAACGATACAAAGGTTTGCTAGGGTAGACCCTCTTTCACTCAGACTCAGCCCCCCCCCCGAATCAAAATCCTGGCTGCGTGCCTGCCTCCAGCCTTCCAAGACCTCACCTAGTTCTGAGATTACACCTGTGTTTAGATACAGTTCCTTTTTAGAGGCATTCTTCTGTTCCCGAAGACTTGATTTCATTTACAGTGACATGTGATTTCTTTTTTACACCTTTACTTACCTGGGACTACAGACCTCTCACTGCATTATCTGTTCTATTTTCATGTTGGAGCATTGTTTTCCCTTTGGAAGAAGCCTGAGGAAAAGAAGGTATTGGGCAGTTCAACCTTCTCTGTTTCTGTTCATTTTCAGCATGTTTTCTACATAGATACTCCAACATTTCTTCTTTTTTCTCATGTTCTGGACACAGCCAAAAATCCAATTTTAATTATTTTATTTCCCCTAGTAACCAAAATTCATTCTGAGATTGAGCTTTTCTGATTCTTCGTACGTATACTGTTCATCTTCCTCTTCGGAGATTTCACCTAGCTGCTATTTCGTATGCATGCCTTTTAAAATACAAATTTAAGTTCATCTGAAAGTTCTCTATCTATCCACCCTTGTTTCTTTAGACATACCCTCCTTTTCTGCCTTATAGAAATTGCTTGAAACATTTAAATCTCTCACCATTATGAAACTCCCAGACATCACAAATTCCCTTACCTTTGAACATTTTTGATCATGTATTTCATGCAGTGTTTCCCTAAGTTGGCTTACATCATTCTTGAAGCCTAGAGGGTATATCTGTGTTTTTTTGTATAACAAATACCAAGAGGACTTCTTCACTCTCACCTAGAAAACATCCGTCCTTTATTGGAAGGCATTTCTATAATGTTGTACAATAACACAGTATTATAAAAGTATGCACTTTTATTTTAAAAAATTGCAGGTTTCGAAGTACTCATGGATTTTAACCCACACAGAACCTGTGGGTAATTCACCCTGCTACAGCAAGTAAAACTCCAGTTGCTGATGTGCTTACTGCATCTTTATACATACAGAGATTTAAAGATGTTCAGAGAAGTGGTTATTATTAGTCTAAAGACCAAGATAAGAATGGGTTTTTCATTGGGCATTTAAACTATTTTCTCTTTACATCACTTTTTTGAAATGCAAATGTTGTAATACATTTTTCATAGAACAAGGGTCAGACTACTTGATAGACCCAGACAATGATGGATCCAAATGATAAATAATTTAATTTCACAAGGATATAAACATTGCACGGAGATCTAAGAAATTTGGGGGGAGGGGTCTGTGCGTTTTTATATCACTTTCCTGGAAAACAAAATGAATTCACACACCACCTAACAAATATAACTATTTCATAGGTTTATTTGAAAAATACTTACAAAGACGAGTATGTCTGACTCTAAAATAGTTAGAGCAATTGTGTTTACAATGTTAGGTGTGCAGCTTTAACAGTCTTTGCAATTTATTCCACTGTTAGTCTGCTTTGAAAACGTTAGAGAAGGCCTGGTTTATACTCGAGCTATGCCTTCTTTCCACTTTATTAGCATCTACAGCAGTCACCAGTGCCTAACATCTCAGTCAAAATAAAAATACACATGCCTTATTAACCCATCAGCACTGACTGATTTTTAACTGTTTATCATCTAATAGGGGAAAAAACTGAAAAATGAACAGCAGGTTGGCATACATGTCTACCAGTATGATTTTATATGTAGTTTTTGAAAATGCAGCATTATGCCAACAGGGGTTTTCCCCTTCTATTTGTAAACCTTACCTTACTTCTGTTATTATGGAGCCTTCAACCATTTCCTTTGGAGAGAGGTTGAGAATGGAGATTCTGAAAAGTCTCATAAGACAGTGATTTGATAATACAGAAACACAAGTGCAATTAGTTTCCGCTTATTTTATATATATTATTAAAGACAAGGCTGGCAAAGAAACTGACTGAGGAAGAGCTTGCTGTCTTGCTATCAACTGCATTTCAGTCACAACAGTTCAGGCAACTTGTTTCAAAGATGGTTATCTTTGAAAGCTGAGACATTCTCAGCCACTACTGTGTAAGGAAGCAGCAGCTGTATGAGCTATCACCTTTCGGTGTATCTCAGAAGTGGATGAATAAGTTCCATCCATTGTGCACACTGGTAAAATTCTCCTTGCTCCGGGCTGTGGGGTATAACTATATTTCCTCCAGTCTTCATCTGGTGGCATGTCTACCCTTCGAGGACCTTGAGCCTTGGCATACTGGGGAGGTACAGGACAACCCTGGAAACGGCCCATGTCTCTTGAAGCCCCAGGTGATACAAATAAAGTACTATGGCCTATATCAGTGGGTGGCCTATGGTCAGTGGCACAAGCCTCTTCCTTTCCTTGCTGAAATGGCTGCTGAATGAAATGTTCTTGCAATCCTTTGCTTTTCTGAGCAGCATGTCCCCAATGTCCAGCTTGTCTGCCTGGTAGTGTTGCTGTTTGTCTGGCAGTGTGACTTATCTGTGGGCAGTGACCAGAGATGCTTGATGCTTCTTCGGTTCCTAAATGCGTATTAAGAAGAGTTTTCCGTCCTTGAGAAGACAGGCCCTGATGTTTGTAAATGAGGCTCCCATAGCTCAGTGCCAGACCTGGGTTGTCTTCACCTTGGAAAGTTTCACCCCTGTCAGGCACAGCCAGAATTTTTGGGATGTTCTTCTGATTTCCTGTGGAAAAAAACAGAATATAAATACTGTTTTTCCCCCCCACTCCAAACTGTTCGATAGACCTAATATATACCAATGGTGTATCTAGGACCTTACTAACAAAGCAATGTAAGTCCTTGTGTATTGATTATCACTAGCATTTATGTTTAATATTGTACTACTGTTTAGTCCTCCATTGTAATAACAGCCCAAGATCACTACTGTAAAAGCCACAAATACGTTAATCATGGCTGCGTTAGACCCATAATCTGCAATTCACTTCTCTAGAACATATATCTGAAAGTGATGAGGAACTACACAAACACAAAAGTGTTTGATGCCAAGAGATATGGCTACAACTCCTCGTCACAGGTAATCACCTGGATGATAGCATTAGCATGCTTGAGATAATTATATATCAAGAGATAAACACTGGGTCATATTCTGAGCACTCTGACTGCTTTGATGGATTTAGACTTTCCTAATTATCCCATTTTTCATTTTAAGAAATCTTCTAATCAACAAATCTCAAAGCAAATTTTAATAATTGCTTGTGATGTGCCAAAATCTCAACGAAGCTCAACCAAAACATTGCACTCAACAGTTGTTGAAAGTATTGTGTTTATTGCCCTGGGAAAAATAATTAATGGCACACCTTGTGCTTTCAACATGGCAAGAATAAAACTTTAGCCAGAGACAGGGCAGTTCTACTTTCCAGATACCAAGAAGGTTCATGACACTGATGGAGTAAAAATGGTGTTGACTTGTAGGTACAGCATTGTCTCTTTCCCTATTAGATAGAGCCACAGGACTGACTTAGACTTCAAGTCATATTGCAGTTATCCTTTACTCCTTTTTCTGCTTAAACCAATTCAGAATGGGATGCACTATGGATGGGGGATAAAATTGTGGAAATGGTAAATAATTCCTGATTTGCAGAAGTTGTAATTGGCAAACACTGGCTCCTGCAGTAGCAAAAGAGCAAGGAGCTGCACAAAGGTGAATAAACAGGCAGAGGGTCACATATGACTAAAACTGGGAAGGTAATCTGGGTGGAAGGAAGCTTGTCTGAGGAGAAGGATCTGTTTTCCGAGATGGAAATGATGTTACATCTTTAATTAGTCTCCCCTCACTTCAATGAAAAAAATTATTCACAATTAAACAGAGCAACTGACTTTTATTTATTTATTCTTTAAACTTATATGCCGCCACTCCCCTGGGGCTCGGAGCGGCTTACAAGAATAGCTACAATCTAACAAAGTTTAAAAGCAATTTAAAACAATTTAAAAACAACAGTATCAAACATTAAAAGCCTGTCTGAACAGGACTTTTGTAGAATGAAGCTCCAAACTGACAATGGGGGGAACGGATATAGTTTTTGTCAACTGAGAAACCCTTGAGAATACATATCTACAGACCAACCTATTCTCAATAATGCAATTTATAAAACATATCTCTTTAATAAATGATATCAGAATACTAAAAGATTTAATCAGGATACAACAGATGCACGAGATGAGCCATCTCCTAAAATTCTGTCAGCATTTTGATTGTGTAGTTCCTAGCTGGGGAAAGGGTCAACTTCTGCCCGTGGTTACTGACATATTCTCACACACAGCCCACAACTGGACCTCACATTAATGGCACTTTGCATTCCACTGTCTCCAAAGGATTTGTACTTATCCTAAATTTAGACTGCACATCTGGATAGTCAAATGTGGCACGGCCATTTCTTTAAGAACGGCCCATAGTCTTTTGTCATCTACACAACCAAAGGCTTTACTATAATGTATAAATAAAATAAAATTTCTTCTGAAAGTCTTTGGTGTGCTCCATTATCAAAAGTATGCTTACAATATGATCCTTTATTCCTCTTCCTTTTTAGTACCAAGCTGGAATAATTGGCACTTTTCACTCCATATATGGTAGCGTCCTTGCTGTAAAAGTTTGGGCATCACTTCACTTGCATGGATGATTAATGGAATGGTTTGATAGTTTATACTGCCATTGTTGTTGTCACCCTTGGATTGGAAAGCATAGTGAGCATTTTCAATCTGTAGGCTATTGCTTTGTTTTCTATAAGATTGACAGATATTAGATATAATTTGAGTTTCTCTGAAGCTTGATATAGCTCTATTAGTAAATCATGTCTTCCAGGTAATTTATTCCTCTTGACTGTTTGACTACAGCTTCGATTTCACTTTCTAAAATTGTAAGTTCATCTTCGGATGATTTTTTTCCTTGAAATAATCAGTCATCCTTCCCTCTACTTCACTTGCATATTGTTTCCATCATCTTTTAAGTCTTCTTAATTTGATTATGTTTTCCTGCTGGCCTATAGTATATTTAGTCTTGGTTTCATTTAAGACTTTAGCACAGTATTCCACTGCAATTTCCTTATTGCTGATAGTGGACACAAATAGCACTAAGCGTTCTCAATATAACTCTTCTTTGGTGAAATTCCAGCAATTTCTCAATCTGTAGTCCTATTATTGTGCTTTTATACAAATTTGTAACCAGGTCATCCTGCACTACTGCTATCCATTAATTTTAATTGTTTAACTTTTAGCACAATTGCACAATTCCAGCTTTAGAAATAAAAAATAGCAAATATAAATATAAAAGCAAAGCAAAACAGCCAGCTTGGGCATAATGAGGGGGGAGAATCCCTCCCTCTGATGTCACTTATTGTTGGTACGCCAGCCCAGAAGCAGAAGGGACCCAAAACACAAACGTACATGAAAGGAAGACTGTGGGATGGGAGCTATTGATGGGCTTTACCCATTAATAACTAGACATGAAGAACCATGGGGAAGGGGAGACGGTATACATACGGCATTGTGCGATAGGGTCATCACCTTTGGTGTAGCTGCAGTGCTGGTTTGCCTGTGATGTGCAATAGAGTCCTAACTAATCTTTAACTATCATGTTTAATATTAGCAATTCATGCTCTGTGGCCCAAGAAAATAGAGCTTCCTTATCTTCTGCTTCCAATTATGTAGTCTATTTGATTTCAATATTGGCCATCAGGTGACATCCATATATACAGTCATTTTTCTCATTGCCTAAAATGTGTTTGCAATGGACAAACTGGTTGGCCTCTGCATACAAGTCAATTTAATTATTGCTAAGTTAGCAAAGGATAAAGGATCAGTCTTTCATTTCATATGTCCAGGTGTCAAGCAGTATGGTAAGTGACAAAACAAATGGGGAGAAGAACACTTAATTCCACCTGATGGACGAGATTGAAGTACCATGATTACAGACAGGCATAGTCCAGACAGAAGTGCAACAACAGGAAAAAGAGCCACTTATTGAATCTCCCATGCAAAGACTCCAGTGATTACCTGATCCTCTATGTGTCTTGCCCACCATGCTAGGCACTGGTGCATCATGTGAGAGGTACTGTTGTTGGGTTGAAAAGTGTCGGGGATCAAAGGGTAACACAGGAGGAAAACTGTGAGGGAAAATGAGGGAAGTGGTGCTGGAAGAACGGTGACTGGCTTCCACTGGCATTTTCCTTTCACTGGCCCCTTCCTTTTGGCAAAAGGAAAAAGGGAAACAGAACAGAAAATGATGGTTAAAACAATACTGGGATCAATTGGGCAAGCACAGAACTGGAGAAATAAGTGGGAGAGTGCAGAAAAGAGAAACTTCGTAAGGTCTAAAACAGGAATGTATTTGCTTACAAAGAGAAAGTAATGTTGTACAGGTGGACATATTTTCCAAAACAAAAAAAGTCAAGTATTAGTAAAAAGCAATTCATTTTATTGCTATTTTAGTACAGAGATTTTCAAAATCTAAATACAACATAATATGCATCTAGATATGGACATGAACAAAGCAGCTGAAACCAACCTTTAAAAGAAAGGTCTGTATCTAAAACTATACGATCTGTGTTAGACTTGTAAACTAACAGAACAGAAACCAAAAAGATGGATAAAGGCTACCATATCTGGTACATAAAGAATGCACATTAACTTTCAAATTAAATGAAGTGCAGATATTCTAAAGCACTGCTTCTTAAACTGTGCGATGAGACCCAAAATGGAGGGCCCTTAGCTCAATGTTGGGATCATGAAAAATTGAACAATAGTAAAGAGTTTCTGAACATCACCTGGTGGCTCTTCTAAACATTTATATAAATCTGTTAGCGACAGCTTGCACTGTTAACAGCAAACTCTGCAAAAAATGCTTCAGCTATACTTCATAAAAAGGGAAAATGAGCCTGTCTCATTTATCAAGCTTTGAAAATGCTTGTTTATTGTCAGTAAATGTTTTATTTTTATACCTCTTTTATATAACTGTATTTCTGTGGTCACATAAATATTTCTTGTTTGGAAAGGGGCCCTGAGTGGAAACAGTTTAAGAATAATCAATATATAGATGAGTGGCTATGGCCAGGAAATGCTTGATGAACCTGTGTTGGTATCGTTCCTTTCATTTAATCAAATTTTATTATGAAATCAAACATACAGGAATACACAACAGATTGTAAGAAGTATCAGCAGACAGGAAAGGGTAAAGACATTTCATGTTTTGCTACCCAAATGAAACAGAAAGTATTTCCTTACACAAACATCATTAAAACAATTACTGTATTTACTATAACTCTCTAAACCTTGTAATAGCAAAAAAAAAAAAAGCACCATCCATATGGGGGGGGGGCATTTTCAGGCTTGGAGGAATTCCAAAATGTACAGATTTGTTTTAAATAAGGAGAAAATCTAGCAACATTCTCCTGAATTAATCTTTTATATGTATGAGACCACACTTGACATAAGAGATTGCAGTCCTGTGAAGAGTTTCAATGTCTTATTTAAATATATTGGACATTTAATGAAATGCATCACTTCATGACATTGAAAAGCAATTTGTAAGGTTTTTTTGTTGGTAAATGTATCCAAGGTAATCACATAGAAGAAAGAACCATTTTGCACACCAGCTTTGTATTCATAAGAGTCTGAGAAGAAACAACAGGTTAAGAAAGGACAAAAGGAGCATACATTTTATCTCCAATTGTTTCAAAATGAATAATCAATTTTTAATTTATTTTTAATGTGGTGATCTCTGTTTTGCCAGGGTATTTCAAATTAAAAGCAAGCATAGTTTGTGAGGAGCAAGAGGGTCTTCTGGGTAGCAGCCTGTGGACTATGGAAACCAGAATGATAATTCCCCATAATAATTCTTCCAGGAGGCCGTTTCCCTTCCCAGGGGTAGATTTCCTCTCACTTCCTGTTATCTCACCTCCATTCTTAACTGAGTTGTATGTAAGTTGGATGTCTGTAGTTTGGGGACTGCTTGTATTGGAAAACTGTTTTGGTTTTTTGGTTTTTACTACAAGCCTAGAATTCCTCAACCAGTGACCATGCTATTTAGGGAATTCCAGAAGTTGTTGCTTCCCCCAAGTAAGTTTTCAAACCTCTCTACTTAATACATTAAGATCCCATATTGGAAGAAAGGATATGAAACAAATAAATAAACACATACATACACAGAGAGAGGTATTCTGAAACGTAATTGTCCCACATACACATGAAATCAAGTGATTTCATGAACAAACTTAAGTTATTAGAATGTGTTTTCCTCTTTGTGCCTTAGCAACAAAGCTAGGCGCATGAAGGAACATACAAAGAAAATACCAGGTCAGTTTTTGACACTTCTACTTACAAAACTGTGGGAAGAAACAAGTGTCTCTTCCTTATTTGTGACAACTGTCCCACTGAGACTGCGTGCAATGCGACGGAAGTTCTCTGCACTGTACATTTCCTCTTCTGGCTCCTTGCCATAATTTCTGTATGGTACCTGCAAAGACATTGTCGTATTCAGAAAGATATCTTCATGGAAAATGGGTATATGCTGTGATCAGCCAATAGTTCACTTTCCTAATTTAGAAGCCATATAGAATGGCTATTAAGGTTGTAAAATGAATGAATATGCAAAGAGTTGAACATGGAAAGTACAATATCTCTCCCCCCCCCTTTCCTCTTTCTAAGGTGTATACTGTCTACACATACGTTTACCAATTTGAGGTAAAACATCATGCATCCGATGAAGTGAGCAGTTTCCTTGAAAGCTTTGACCAGCCTTAATTTCGTGCTCTCCAGATGTTTTGGACAACAAACCTCATTAAACATGGCCGATTGTCATGTTGCTGGGACTTCTGAGAGTTATAGACCAAAGCACCAGGACACGAGATTAAGCAAGGCTGGTTTATGGTATCATACATTTGACAGTCTAATATCCCTTAATATTTTATTCTTTTCCCTTCCTTAGAATCTAGAATTTTTACTAAAGCAGATTTGTTGTTTCCTCTTGATTTTCTAATACACACAGTACATTCTGCATTTATACACTGTTCAAAAGCTACCGAAAACCTGTAAAATTGTAGTCACAAATCTATGTCACATTGTAATCACAAATCTATGTGGTTAGGAATGTGTTTCTGGGTTTCTGTGAAAAAGGATTGCCAATAGGACCTATACAATCCCCCTGAAGTCTGATTTCTACTGCGGCATGGAGAAGATTTAAATCAGAAGTAAATTCTTTTGCACAAAAGACAATACTGCCTCTTATGCAAGCCTTCTTCTCTTGGCAGAATGTTTGAGAACTGTTCATGTATTTCTGTTACTAGTGCTTCAGTTTGGAGATTTGAAACTACTGCCATTAGCACTGCATGCTATCTTGTCCACAATGCAGTGCTAATGACAGACATGCTTCCTTCATTTCTTGTTTGAAGAATCAGTTGTAGGGATAAACAGAAATTACCTAATTTGAACTGAGTGATAGAAAAAGTAATAAAGGGTGGGAGATATTTCATGCTTTTTCTAATTGTACTCTGAATAGTACAATGGAAGAAAGACTATACTTTTCCTTGAGTTCTCTGAAAAGTTTGTGAAGGGATGACGGCAGCTGCTGGGGAAGAAAGCAAAGGAGGAGCAGCAGGTTTCCTGATTTGCGAGGCTGACTTGCCCACATGCCTCCACCTCTTAGAGTGCCACTCAGCCCCATTGGTCCCTATCAGCCCCCATTAGTAAAAAAGATCAGACCGCTGTAATCTGTACTGGCTAAGGCTTTGGTTGCGCCCTGCACTAGGTTTGTTTTCATGGATTTGGCAACAAAATCCGCCAAATCATCCAAATCTGGTACACAAAAACGAAATCTTACACACCCCTAAAAAGTAGTCCATGAGTTACAAACATCTGATTTACAAACAACTCATAGTTCAGAACAGGGCTGAAAAAACAAAAGGCAAAATTACCCCTAGGCAGGAAAATTAACTCCTGAAAGAGTTATCCTGGGAGGAAAGGTGTCTCCACTGAAGCTTTCTCTCTAATCGTTGTATCCACAAGCCAAATTTTTCAAACCCAATTATAACAGGGACAGAAAGTGAGATGAAATCTTATGAACAGGGTCACAGACAGCAAAACAAACTTCAAAGAGGTGTGAACCTCCTTATGTTATCCAAAGCTCGCTCGCACGCTCTCTCTCTCTCTATATATATATATATACACACATATATATACATATATTGCTGTAGTTAACACTTTAAAAAGTACCTGTTCTGATTTACATACAAATTCAACTTAAGAATAAACCTACAGAACCTATCTTGTTTGTAACCTGGGGACTGCCTGTATGTCATAGATCCATAATATAGCCCAAGGGAAAAATCTTGGTGTCTTGGGCTTTAGGCCTGTCTCTGGGGTTATTTGGAGTGCAGATTCAGAAAATTGTATTGGATAGACTCCATCAGTTGTAGTTTCTTAAGATATGGTTATCATGATTTTCTGTGGGCAAGCAGATGGCAACTGATATGTGGCTTGTTTCTGTATCTCAAAAAATAGAGCTGACGGAAAATTGTGTCATTTTTAATTAGGTCAAAATATACTCAAAAACATAGCTAACATTTGAGGCACTAAAATGTGTGTTGGCCAGTGATCAGAGTGAGTTGTAATTTTTAAATAAGTCAATTAGAGTCATGGGGGAAAGGTTGGGATAGGTAATCATATAAGGACCATACTCCGTTTCCTAAATTATTCTCTCTGAAATTGTTGTAAGCAACACATGATACTTATGTTCTTTCTTGTGAAAAGGCAGCATCTTCCAAAGAAATTGGGAGAAGTGTTGACTGCCAGCAACAATAGCTGCGATCAACATTTTAAGAAACGGTGGTCATAGATCTAACATAGCTTAGCCCTGATATGTGTGATGCTTTAGCCTTTATTAGGAGCCTATACAAAAGTTCGGGGGGGTGGGGGGTGGGAGGGGGGCAGAAGACTTTGCACAATCTAATCATCTTTTTATTTCTTGGTAAATTTGAAGTTGTGTCAAACTGATGAGGAAATTAATTTGCCTATCTCTGGTCAGCCTTCTGTCAGTTATACATTTATTTTGTACACTACCATACTGAAATCCAAGAGTGGAAGCATTGTTATATGCTGTTGAAAACCCACAATGTTTGTGACATACCCCTTTGCTACAATATCTTCAAACTGGCTAGGAAATCACCTCTTCAACCCTAGTGTTAAAGTACATCATTCACAAAATTATTAGGCTATCAGTGAGGTGACTTTTACTGGTTACTCCTAGTCTTACTGCTGAATATCAAATAACACTCAAACTTGAAAGTATTTAATTGCTCTGTTTTATAGTTATAGTCCTATCATCCAATAAACATGCAGGAATTTCAATGAGTGCAAACAAGAAGTAGACTTGCAGTCATTTCTGGGTCAGCCCAAAAGATAATGATGTGGCCTGCCATGAGAGCAAAAATCTGCCCTCCCAATGCTGCTCTAATATAATATTTATTATAAATAATAAATAAATAATAATGAATAATAAATAATATTTCTGCACATTCTTACCTTAGAGAATGGAGATATAGCCGTTCCATATAGGCTTCGCTCTATTTCTGCTGTTGGGGTTTTTGACAATCCAATGTAAGTTGAACTGTGCATCCTTCTTGTAGGTAGGTTTGTAGATGCTATAGCAAAGGGTGGGTGGGGGGAGCAGAGGCAAACTGAAATTGTAAATATGTATCTGGGAAACATCTGGAGGTTTGTTTTTTTTTTCTGCTGATACACAGTGACCAGAACAAAAGCCTAAATTCTGTGAGGTAGTGAAAACAACAGAAAGTTCCACAACCAGTTCAATAAATTTGGATTAACATTTAATATTCAAAACAAATTATATGATACCAAATTTAACTACACAATTTACTTCTGCTGTACAGAGTGTGTTTAGTTACATTAATATAAGCTAAAATATTTATATTTTCATTTTATAATTGCGTACTTCTCATAGGTGGTCCTTCAGTTTCAACATGTCTTCTTGTGTAGTAAATGAAGGCCAAAACTCCCACAATCCTGATCTTCATTTATTAATTCATTTCCTTTTATTGTTTTAATTATCTCCATGATAAAAACTACACTAAACGCTTTTGTCATTATTAAATAGACACAGTGCATCCAATAGATAAATAACCCATTATAGGAAAAGTGAGATTGATTGCTGTGATTCCACTTCATCCTTACATGTCTGACGTCCTGCCTCATTCACCTTTTCTTCAGGGAATCTTCTTTATAAGTATTCCTAAAAACCTTTCAAATTCCTTTATTCCATTGTATCCACACCTGCTCAATACTCTGTCCTGACGGGTTTCTCACAGTTCTGCCTTATCTCACATTCTGTTTGCGTTTTTAAAAATATGAAACTGCTAAGAGTGTGTCTGAAAATCTGGGTTTGATGTCATTAGTATGTTGATGACACCCATTTTTTACTTCTTTACTTCTGAAGAAGGTGCTTCAGTTATAAACCAGGTACAGATATCCCCCAATAATCTATTGGGGGGGACGACAAACTGGAGTTTAATTCAGACAAGGCAAAGGTAATCCACGTAAGGTGAAAAACAGATTGGTGAGTAGGGATGCAATTCATGCTTGATGAAGTTACGTGTTTTTCCCATGAAGATACACATTTTTAAAGTCTGGATCTACCCATGGAATTAACACAGAGATTGGATTCCTGGGTTTCAGTTATAGCCAGGGCACCATTTGTATAATTAAACCTGATATGCCAACTATACCATTCTTGGAGACTGACCTGGTGATCATGATACATGTTTTAATTACATTCTGCTTGGATTGTAACAGACTCTACTACGGAGGCTGCTGTTGAAAAATGTTCAGAAACTTCAAGTGGTCCAAAATATTGATGCAATTCATGCTTGATGAAGTTGATTGAGTACTTTAGCAGACAGAGTTTACTGGGACCAGTTAGAGAGAAGCAACTCTGTTAAAACAGCTTCACATAATTGCTGGTTATGACCTATACATCTTTCTATACAGGTTGTGCTGAGGCTTTCTAAAAAAAAACCCTCATAGACACCTGTAAAAGAGGCTCTATTCTTAGTACTACTAGCCTCGGAAATATATTTGGTGAGAAAATGACCTTCCCAATTGACCAGCTTCCTGGTGAACTCTCTTGTTTGCTCTCTATTATCTTCTTGTTGGCTTGCAAAAACTTTACTACTCAAGGAGGCCTTCCATAAATAGCTGAGTGATACAGACAAGAGATTTTCAATGCATGAAGAAAATTTAATATTTTAATTTTACCTGTTATTACTGAGGCATTTTCAGTTTTGTTTTAATATTATGTCTATTTAAATTGGATTAAAAATTATGTTGGAATCAGCCTTATGTTGGCATCAGTTCTGATGCCCTAGCATGCAAAAAGAAAGAAGATCCAGATGTTGGCAAAAGAGAATTCTGGGTAGTGGAGGGCATGTGTCCTTTTGTATGAGAATATGAGAGGGAGATGCAATTCATGCTTGATGAAGTTGATTGAGTACTTTAGCAGACAGATACAGAGCTGCACAAGAAGTTTAGTTTCATAAAAAATAGGAACAACTTCCTAGTGAAATAAATGTCAGTGTGCAGTTTGTGTAGCCCCTCAGCCAATAAAAGATAATCAGATGGAGATGACAGAGATACATAGAAAATTGGCATTAATTCACACACACACACACACCAAATTTATAAATAGGAATTTCCCTCAAAACTGCTAACATTTAAGGACATTGGCTTTAAGTCTGAATGTAACAAGATGCCAAGCACTTGACATGGTCTACATGACATTCAAAAATATGGCTATATATCGCATTTAGCATACTTTTACCTTTTGTGCCTAACAGATGGCAGGAGTTATCCAGTCTTCCCATGACAGGTTGGCTTGTCTCAGGTGCCTGTAAACTAGCCTGATACAAAGATTCCAGCTCCGAAATCTCCAGCTCGGTGTCTCGATTCCACTGTGGGTGCTTCTGCATTAGATCCTCTCCAGAAATGACTTGATTGGATACAGACGACAAGCTAGAATTCTTGCAATCCACTTGAGAGCTATAATACTTTTTAACATTGTTTGCCCAGCAGTCCACCGGCATAGATGCAACCAAATCAGCAGGATTTCTGTCATTCACCTGTCTCACTTCTCCCTCATGACTGAATCTTCCTGGGTAGAAATGAGGATCCACAGAACATCGTTCTGCTCTGGGGCACAGTTCTTTGTTTTGCAAATCAGAATTCTTAGAAAGCGTACTGTGAGTGCTAAAACAACCTTCAGAACTCAATTCATCCCTAGTACTCAGACATGAGTTCACCTTTCCAGCAGACCATATTCCATTCTCTTGTTGTTTAACAACTGGTTGCCTAAAACCAAGGAATGGAGGACAACTGTAGGCTTCCTGAAGTATTGGATCATTCCGATTGTGACAAATAGGCACTTTCTTGTCTTTCGTGTAAGTGCATTCCCTCTGGGAGACCCCCTGCAGCTGCTGAAACTGTTCTGCAAGTGAGCGAACGCGCCCCTTGGTACACATTGTCTCAGACTTCAGAGAATCCCCATTTACTAATTCTTCCGATGGGAGATGTAAGCTCTTATCACTATTTGCTTTAAGGAACCTATTAGTAGATGGTAATGGATCTGAAGGATAATGTGGCAAAGGAGAATGATAAGCCAGTGTTACGGCATGATCAGCCCCTTGTTGAGCAGCACTAGGCCGTTCTGATAAGCTTGATGGTTTGAAGCATGGATTATGTAGGCCATTTTTGTCAGATGATACCTGTACTGAATGTGAAGATGGGAAGAGTGTAGGCAAAGATCCAGAGCTTACCATATTACATTTCACTTTGCGATGTGGTGTGAGAGAAGTTGTTACATTACGCTCTTCTTCAAGTTTACTGTTTTTGCGGTAGTCGTTATCCTCTTCTAAATGAATGGAAGAGACTCCCTGAAGCTTCGCATCACAGTGGATTTCATTCTCATTTTGAATGGATCTATCACCTACCCCATGCATACAGGAAAAAGTGAGTGCTTGATCAATGATTCCATCAGAAGCAGTTGGAAAGTTCAGAGAAGTCTCGTGAGAGGGGCTGCTTTCAGAAGGGGATGGGCAAAATGATTTTGCATGTGATGAATACATTTCATGATGGGAAACAGTAGGATGGAAGTAAGAATTGGACCCAGGTTCTGCTTCTCCGCTGGGTTCCAGTGCTGTCTTCTGGTTCAGCAATACTTGGAGCGGGACAGTCTGTTCACTGAAACATATATAAAACCATAGTTAATTATTGGTGCTTCCGAACTGGAAAACAATCCTAAGATCAATTGGAAACCATTCTATTTTACCTTTTACAATGCATGTGATGAATTCATCCTCTGCCAGGATTGTTTTGTTTTGGTAAGTCTGGGTGGGGATGGGGAGAAAGATTGCCAATCAAGGTTTAATTCTGGATTTAGGGATATGATCTACAATGATATGATGAAATGATTCACAGGGTTGATTTCAAAATGCCCATGTTCCAAAATGGAAATATTTCAAAAGCAAATGTAGTATAAAAATTTCAATGTGATGTTTTTTCATCCACCAAAAGGAGGGTTCTGATTAAAATAAGAGGAAACGATTAAATCTGAAGAATATTTGAGAGCTGGTGTCTTTTTTGTGGAAGGAAAAGATGGAATCTGAAGAAAAGAAACATTCAATTTGCAGGCCTCTTTTCATATTCACCTCATAAATGCTAGGAGAATGCTGGAACAGGCAATTTTTGAATGAAACTGCACATTATGGTTTGGTTGTTTTTAAAAGAGTATGCTTAAAATTGGCCAGTTTCATTTTCTAAAGTTCTAAGATTTCAATCTATAATGTACTTGGGAAGGAACCAATTTCCTTTTAGAAGTCATATCAGAGGTGTCAAACTATGGCCCTCCAGATGTTTGGGCGTCCAACGCCCAGAAGCCTTAGCTTGCCCAATGGCCAGGAATTCTGGGAGCTGAAGTCCAAAACACCTGGAGGGCTACACGTTTGACACCACTGTTCTATATTTTCTTTCCTTATAAATGTCCTGTTTACTATAAACAGTGGTGTTCTAAGGTATAGCTAATGATGAAGAAAATTTGAATTCCATCATCTTTTCAGTTATAGGCCAAAAACCCGATTTTGCTCATACGTTTCTCTTTTTTATTTGGAATCTGTTTCTAAACTCTTCAAACTGTGTAACACAGTGGTTCTCAACCTGGGGTCCCCAGATGTTTTTGGCCTACAACTCCCAGAAATCCCAGCCAGTTTACCAGCTACTAGGGTTTCTGGGAGTTGAAGGCCAAAACCATCTGGGGGCCCCAGGTTGAGAACCACTGGTCTAACAGGAAATAATCTCCCTAGTATAACAAAGAAGTTATATGTCAGAGATCAATGTAGAATAATATAAGAGCTTTCTTTTCTTTTAAAAAATCGCCTCTGAATTCAGAAGCTAAGCAGGGTCAAGCCTTGAATAAATGTTACCAAGAAAATGGTTTGCTGTGAGTTTTCCAGGCAGTATGGCCATATAATGACTGAACTGTGGCGCAGCTAGTTAGTAGCCAGCTGCATTAAATCACTACTGACCAAGAGGTCATGAGTTTGAAACCAGCCCAGGTCGGAATAAGCTCCCGACCATTAATAGCTTGCTGTTGACCTATGCAGTACAAAAGACAGTTGCATCTGTGAAGTAGGAAATTTAGGTACCACTTTATGTGGGGAGGCTAATTTAATTAATTTATGACACCATAAAACCTTCCAGCAGCATGCGTAAGAATGAGGAAGTACTCCATCAAGGACTCGGTGTGATAAGTGGACAGTGAAGTGGCAGCTCCTCCTGTGGCCGGAATCGAGCATACCCTCATAAAGCTGGAAAGTTTGAATGTTAAATTGTCTATGTCTCTGTGTCTGTCTATGTATGTTGTATGTCTAATGGCATTGAATGTTTGCCATGTATACATGCATTGTAATCTGCCGTGAGTCCCCTGTGGGGTAAGAAGGGCGGAATATAAATACGATACATAAATACAGCCCGGAAAACTCACAGCAAACCAGTTATTCCGGCTATGAAAGCTTTCGACAACACGATTACCAAGAGAATCTTCTGTAATTCAGAGTCACAGTAAGTAAGACTTGACTTGAAGAAAATCATAAAGGAATACAATGTCACTAAATACTGGTTTAGAAACAGGCAGAATCTTTTCTCTGTGTGTGTTTTAATAAATTAATTGTGTACCCTATTTGGAAGTGAAAGAAAAATTCAAAAATAAGGTTGCTACTAGACAAGTTCTCTTTCCTGGCCCAGTGCTTGCAAGTAAGGTACTGCTAATTTGTTAGTGCTGAGGAATACGTTGAAGCATTTCTTTTTATCGCATTAAAAACTTAGCAAATAACAAAAGCAGGAAATCCCTTCTTTGTGTATACAGATTTTGTTTGGTCTTAAATACAATAATGGGTTTTAAGAATCGTATCATGAACTAATTGAATGGTTTAGAATTAGCTTGGTGTACTAGTGTTTTTGTTTTCAAGCATCTGTCTTTTAAAATGATGTAGATATATTTTAAATGATACAGGAAATATGATTAGATCAGCAAACAAGAACTATTTCACTTAAAGATCTTCCCAGGTAGCTGTACTGTAGAATCAGTTTATAGTTGTTACTATACTAGAGTGAGCCATGCTGCCATTCCCCAAGCTCTCTGCATTTCAATGTGGAAAAAGGTGATTTTTCTTCTGTTATTGCCTGCATTGAAATATCTTGTGTGCTCCTTATGATTAAATACCACAGACACTTGCTAACTGATACACAGTATTTCTGGTAATGACTGACATTCACCCTATTTCATCAATTTTGGAACAAAAATGGTGAATGTAGTCCCAACAATTCGCACAGAAAATTCTTTGTAAATTGAGAACTGACAAGATTAGTTGGCTCTTAGTGTCTGCAAGGGGCTGGTTTGAGGACCCTCTATGAATACCAAAATCTGCAGATGCTCAAGTTCCTTATACAAATCTGTAGTAAAGCTGGCCGCTGTTGAAATGAGATGGGACAATATCAGGGATAGCTCTCTGTGACTATATTTGAGCATACCAGGCACCCTTCTTTCTCCCTTTCCTCTGCTGTGAGCAGATGCTAAGCAGGTGAAGGCCATTCTCTTTACCTACTCTAGGAAAGGAAAATAAGCAAAAACAAAAAAGGCATTTTGTGGTATTGGGGAGAATCTGAGCTGATTACCTGATCTCACTCCAATAACCAGTCAACTGTGAGCTATCTTTTATCCTTCTTGAGCTCCATCAACTACAGGAAAGGAGATTCCATCTGAACATTAGGAAGAACTTCCTGACAGAGCTATTCAGCAGTGGAACTCTCTACCCCGAAGTGTGGTGGAGGCTCCTTCTTTGGAGGCTTTAAAGCAAAGGCAGGATGGCCCACAAGGTCTCTTCCAACTCCGATTCTATTATTCTAGAGAAGAGCTTTCTTCTGTCTCAGTCATGCTTCTCTTATTTCACAAATGACCCAAAAAACGTAAGATCAAACATTGCACAGCTTCTCTTCTCCTACCTCAGCACTTTTCTGGGTCAGCAAGACTTTGGGAGGGCATTTGAAAACAAAAGCAATCAAAAGAGCCACTTGAGCTGCTAAATCAGAGGCCACAAACTGGAATGTAACACGTCAACTTTTGTACAACTGCTTCCTTCCTTTTCTCCAAGCTGGGATGGCTTACAGTTTTAATGACATATTGAAGCAAGGGTACATAAAGATTAGGAACAGACACCTAAAGGTAACTATTATTTCAATTTTCTTCCTCTTTTTGTTTACTGTCCACTCCTACGTTGCCTTTGCATTAGTCCGAGAATGTGTTCCACAAATGCCCAATGTCCATCCAGCTTTGAAGAAGGTGGGATTATAACACGTGTGGCAAATTTATTGTAGTGCTTGGTGCACAGCAATTTTAAAAACCCATTTTCAAGCTATTTGGTTGAATCCACTGGTACAGGGCTTGCAGAAATGGGGAGGGGGGGGATACAGTACGGCCATCCCTACAGCATTCCCCAACTGCTGTGTTTACTTTTATGAGTTGAAAGAGGCAGTTTTTGGTATATGGCTTTTCATTTCAGCATTAAAACATACACTTCCCTGCCTGCTGCTCTTCTCCAATAAATAGTTCCCACATAAAGCCAACTTCCTGATGCCACATTATATAGAGAGGATCCATACAATTTATTATGTCCCACACTACCATTATTTTGCAGACTAGAACATCTCATCTGAAGAAGTCCACGAAACTTTAAGGACATGAATTAAATACGTAATTTCACACAAACAAGGGACCATATCGCTCACTTTTTCTTTCCAGATCAGGCCCAATTCAGATCTGGAACACTGCAATATTTTCAGTCTACCTTGTAGAATGGGCCATGTTGCCCCCCCGTGGTGGGTGGCAGGTGGGCGGCGGCTGTGCTGGCTGCTGTTGCTGCATGCGATCCTGGAGACTCCGCTCTTTTCGGATACAGATTTGCAGCTTCTTATCGATTAGAGATCTGCTGTGAGTGCTAGAGCTGGCATCATGCATGGCAAGTCTTAGTTTAGCTAAAAAGCAAAAGAAAACATAGCAGAAACAAAAACAAAACTAGGGGAGAAGGAGAAACACAAAAGATGCACAAAAACATAAAAAAGGACCATGCAAATACTGCCACAAAAGAGTTCACAAGGATGCATCCGTTCTCATTAATGCACATTCAGGTTAGCTATGTGTCCAAACAGGTTAATTAGAAATAAAGCAATAAGAAATTGGAAAATTGTAATTACCATATTTTTTTAGGAAACACCCTATTATTTCTGATATGGGTTACACTAATTCTTTAGCCAAATAGTGTTGCCATATTCGATATAGTAAAAAATCTTGTCAGGGTATAAGACCCGAGATGTAGCCAGTTGGGACACTTGCTAGTTAAGCCTTTATGAAGTCTGTACTATTGTCTTTTAAAATCCACAACAACAGACTTCTACAAAGGAGTACTTAGACCCTTCAAAGGCATGACATTATAAATCCAGTTTGTCTGCAACCTTGCTAACCAGCAAGAAGGGAATGAAGGGTAGGGAAGGTGAGTCAGCCAATCAAAAATATAAAAGTATTAAAATAAAGAAATGCAGCAGCACATATTCCCAAAAGTCACAGCACAATTTAAAACTTTTCATAAATACCAATTCAAAGTCTTCCTTATCTTCCTAAAATGTCAATTAGTACAGCATATGGGCTGTTTTCCTGAATGATCAACCAAATATTTGCTGTACTTTATGAATTAATACCCCTTAATAAACCAGTCTCTGAACTTGGAAAATTATAAGTAAAGGGTCAGAAATACTAAAGGAAACATAATCTGGCAAAAAGAACAATCGGTATCAAAAGAAATACAGCTGCTTCTCTTTCTACTGTTTTTGTGCAAAAGGAGCTCAAGTAACAAAAATAGTTGGAGGAATGCTGAAACAACTTTCCAGGAATGATGGTGCTCAATAAAGATGATGGTTTCAAACATTTTTAAAATCATACACAGTGAGCTTGTTGTGACCAATTAATAATATTACCTTTTGTGATATTAGATATTAGTAAACTGTAAAAAGCGCAGTGAGCTGAAGCAATTAATTACTTACATATAGCTTCATTACAGAGAGCCAAAGCTGCAGCACAGTCTCCCCTCTGCTCTTGATGCAGTGACTCTTCAAAGATTGACTCTGCCTCTTGCACAGACCTCTCAAAGCCATCAGTCCTCCCTGTAAAGGGCAGCACTCTTCATTTTCATTCTTTTCAGGGTTCTCCCTTCACTTAAACCAAAAATCCTCCCAAACATAGAGCAATTCAACATTTCAAATAGTTGACCCCAAGCCCTAAAGCCCAGTTCTCTGCAACCCATGTGCAGCAAATGCAGGGAACTTTGGAGTTAAATGCAGAGATATACAAGTCTCTATAGAGGGAGAGTATACACAGGAGAGAAAATGAATGTGCTGGATGGGTGTATAGATGTGGGAAGGAATGGGAAAAGGGCTAACAATCAAGATGGAAGTTCAACTCATTCAGTTGTGAATGAAATTATTCTCCTTCCAAATAAGTTCATAGTTCAGGGGGTACTGTTTAGAGATGGGAAGCAATGAAGTTATTCGTTCAGGTGTAATCTGTAACACAGACTGGTTTTATATTGTTCAAGGCTGCTATACAAATTGTGATCTCTTCTAATTCAAGATTTTCTTTCCACTGTCATCTATGACCTGGGAACATCCAAACTTACAATGCAATGCAGTATGCATGCGACTACCTCAGAATAAATTACAGGTGATATACATGTGACTGCAAGTATATAATGACATATGAATTTGATAAAATAATTGACATATGAATTTAAGAAAAGTTTCATTAACTCTTTTCTCCTTTTCAGAGGGTATCTGAATTTCTGGTATAAATTTTTGATTATTTGTTTCATATTTGGCTTGGGTAGCTGAAAGTTATCCTTCCTCTATATTACCCTACATTGCAATCTTTTCCTCTCCTTTGGGACTCCAGTCATCAGAAGCAAATAATGACAAGGGAAAAACTCCTGCACTGGTGGGTAAATAAACCTATTTCTTTAGCAGACTTATATCCTGCTTTTAAATATTAAAATTATAAACACAGAGAGATTTTCACTTATTTCTGAAAGCAACGTATAACATTTGTAAAATAAAATTAACTGGAGGCAGGTGGGTGGTTACTACGATGATAATTTGTTTTTGCCCTATTTTGTGTGTAGTTTTAATCTGTTCAAATTCTTTCAAAGCCATTTCATGGCTAAATGAAAATTATCTCTCAAGTATTTCCACAAAAGTAAAACCTCCTCACATCAATGAGTAAAATGGATTTGAAGAAATAACTTGTGACCCAAAGATCTGAGGATGAAGGACCTTCCTCATTCAGTGATAACTGTTCATAGGGCATTAGGATACTGATAACATTTATCTTTATCAAGGCTATTTCAGGGAACATTTTCAAATAAACTTCTGTTTCAGGAAGAGAAACAGGTCTTGGAATATGAGGTATCAAAAACACGCTATAACTAAAGCACAATAACTTGACTCTGCAAGGTGTGGGGACGTCCAGACACACTACAGTTCAGCCAGGACTGTGAAACGCCTTCAACAAGGCAAGGAATATTGGTCATCCTTTCTGAGGGCAGGCTGAAGCAGAGCACAGAACACAATTCTGGATCCTGAGGATGGAGCAGTTTTTCAGGAAGGAGCTATTATCTCAGTAAGGATCTTCCAGCAACTAAAGAGTTAGGCAAGCTGATCAGCTCAGATCTACTCTTGCACGTTATCAAGGGCTGTTACTTCAAGGGTGCGGCAAGGGGAGGGGAGCACACCTTTAAAATGTCCCAAATAATATTTTAAGAAGAAATAGGTAAGTGCAAACTGCAAGGGTCTGCGTTGATAATGAAAAATAGGATGGGCTTGGCCTTATGCCCTGATCTTGATCACACTGGGATGCCATGTAAGGTGTTTTGGGAATCTACTGTGACAGAAAGCCAGGATAAAATCAAATCAATAATGGAATAGGGGATTCCTCCTCCTCCAACATACACACTATGCTTGAAGAAAGAACAACCAATACAGAAGATATCTAGGCTACTAAATACTCTTAGCAGAAAACCAGGAGCATTTTGTAATTCACACACTCATACACAGTTACATTCTAAGATATATTAGAGCAGGCAAGCTCAATCCTACCATCTCACCACAATGCGAATATCCTGCCTACACTTTACCCTGGTTTTGAAGCTCATCCAGGTCCATGAACCTGCTAGGATGAGGATTAAAGCCCACTGATGCCTCCAGTTCCTTTTCCTGCTTTCTTCGGAGTTCTTGTTCTTGGGCCCTTCTTGCTACTTCTTCTTGTAATTCATCTAGTTCACTTTTGGAAGAAACAAGTATCTCCTCACCTTTGGGATGGGAGAAAAAGGTTTGGTGAGCAAAATGACATGATTTTGCCCTGTATGATACCAGTTTTCTTAAATCCACTATAGCTAATAGAAAGTTTGTACCAAAAAAGCAAAGCAAGTATATTTTTATAGCCACACCATACTGATTCCATGTGTACAAGCTGGGTGTACAACTGTTCTTGAAAGGCTCAGCCATGATAAGTGTCTGTATAAATAGATGATATTTTATATTATCGCTCTAACCCATTTTCTAAACTTTGTTTCTTTTATTCTGGAAAAACTACATGGGAAGGAGGTTCATGGCAGAAGATTCCAGTCTTAACCAAACTGTATTAATCAAATAGATTAGATCTCTTCACTGTGTTTCAGGCTGTTTGACATGCATATCCTGTCATGTAACTTAATTAAAGGATGTGATCTGTTGCGGGAGCCATAATCTAAACTTCTTTCCTTCCGTACAACTACTATGTTGGTCCCTGAAGTGGTTAAATGCCATGACTTTGGTGAGGCTCATTGAAAAGAAATTAATAGGAGGAAAATTTGAGCTTTCTCCAGAGATTAATGTAGGAAAATTCTTTTGCCTTGAAACACAACAGAAGGTGGAGTGAATGATCATTTTCTGCAACACTTTGCAATCCTCTAAAAAAAAATCTAAAGATGCATGATGTATCATACAATGCTTTGAAAATAGTGAGGCTGCTTTGCATGTATCTAAAACCCCTTGAAAGATTGTTGAGACAGCTGTTTTCTTTCCAGAGGAAATAAGTCATGATTCCTCCAGGAAGGTCCATGTCTCTGAATTCAATAAAATAACTGTGGTCCCGATGCCTTATGATGGTGTCAATTGTTGACAACCTTCTTCAAACCTTCTCTAATAATGTTTATCTATGATCCTGTTGCTTATTGTTTCCAGTATGTATGATCTAGTATGCAGCTTCTTTTACTCTACAGTTTCTGAGAAGTTATAAAAGGAGCTACAAACCACAGGCTCAATCTCTCTCCTTTTGACTCTGTGACCTGTTGATAACTATTTTGTTATGAGAGACATGCCCTGGCCGGCTGGCACAGAGAACCATCTCAAACATATCTGAAACTGGACTGATACATTTTGTACCTGTGTATGCTGAACACATGAAGGTTGTGAATAAACCAAATATGTTATTTTTATCAAAGTCTACTTCATTTTTGTCTCTTGAGTCCATGATATAAAACAAGTTGCTTTATGGGAGAGTATATATATATATATTGGGCACTGAAAAACACTTCTAAAGCTCTGCTGTTTTGATGCACTGGCAAATCTCTGTCTTTTAACAGATCGGAGATAACAGGTTATTCAGCCTAACAACTGAAAACCATTGCCTAGCATAATTATATCTGGTTGTATGCCACAAGGGAAGATTCTACTCTAAAGGGTTTTTGGCTCTTCACTGAAAGATCGTGCTTTTCTAAAAGTTATGCTCTCCAAAAGGTGTTTTCAAAGGGGTTATAAATGCCATTTTCCAAAATGAGAAAATCAGATTTGCTATGTGTTCCTTACCTGTCTAAATAAAAACGCAATACGTTTAGAAATCCAGATTATGCCAACATCCCTCACTTGAATGTGCAACTTCCCAATGTTTGGGGAGGGTTGGGCTGGATCACCACATGCTACAATTCTCCTATTGCCAAAATCTGACAGTTTCAATGGAAAGTTGGGAAACCAACACTTTTATAGATTTCAAGAATTCAGTAAACCTCTGGAGAAAAATATAGAGTGACACAGTACAGCTGACTGAAAATGTCACAAATGTTTTTTTGGGATGAGGTAGCGTGACTGAACTGTCACAGTGAGGAGAGGATAGGCCTGTTCTCTGCTGCATTTGGGGTAGGACCAGGTCTCATGGCTTAAAGTTACAGCAGGGCGGATTCTGAATGAACATTAGAAGAAACGCCTTGACAGTAAGAGTGATTCAGCAAAGGAATCAGTTGTTTAGAGATGTGGTGCAGTCTTCTCCGAACATCTTAAAAAAGAAGCTGAACAGCTCCCTTCTGGAGATATTTTAGTTGGAGATCCTGAACTGAGCAGGAAACTGGAATTGATGGCCCAGGGACCCTTTCCAATCCTGTGATTCCATGTCCATTCTCCCTTAATCAGAACACAGACAGCTTCATAGGACATAGCAGGGAAAAGTTGCTTGTGTCATGTAATGATTTACTTTTATTTATAAATGAAGTCTTTGGTGAAAAGAGAAGAAATAAACATGCTTCCATGCTGCTCACTATCATTTCTGCAACTAATGTTATTATTTCCTAAATTTTGAACTATGTCTAGTTGAACATTTTTAAAGGTTCTTGATATTTGGTAATATAACTACTGGCAGGTCTGGCAAATAAGCAGTAACAAAACATAAACCAGCATAAAGAAAACTGTAGTGTGAGAAACTAGTGTGTCATTTTCTCAGTGTGTAAAACAGCAGATCCATATCTGGACAATGTCTTCAGACCTTTAAAAGCTTAAGTCCTCAATTTTCCCTTACATAAATTTACCCCCGAGCCATTCCTGGTGTAATGCATTTGTGTGACACATTCAGTTAGAAATATAGTCTTAGGACTCTGCTTCCTAGGCAAGACTTAGATATTTTCACCAAAAAATCTTTATTATTACAATGCATGATGAAACACCTGCACAGAACACTGTTTCAGCTTCAAGTCCTAGACTGGAAGTATTTGGGAGTGGAAAACAACATCTTACCATTACCAATGGAGTGCTTATTCTTTGCCCAGCAAGTAGTCGTTGAGGCAGACTCTACCTCCAAGATGCTGCTGCTATGTGATTTAGGTATGTTACGCCAGGCAGGAACAAAAGCTCCAGTTCGTTTCATATAAGGCTCTCTTTAAAAGTAAGGAAGACAACATTATTTTAACAACAAAATCACTACAGGAATTGTTCCTTTGTTTTTCTTGAAAGTCACAGTATGTAGGGTCAGTATACATTTAATGTTATTAACACTTTTAAGTTATATAATTATGTGTTATTAACACAAAATTATTTTAACAAGAAATCAATACAGGAATTATTCCTTTGTTTTTCTTGAAAATCACATTATGTAAGGCCAATATATATTTAATGTTATTAACACTTTTAAGTGATTAGGGTTTTTTGTATTCTCTCTGTTTTTGGAACTAATCAGAATTTAATCACAATTAAAATTCTACAAAGATACTTAATTTGTTGATAAGAAAAGCTAATCTCAATTCTGATTGATTATAGTTTTGAAACGAACACATCCCCATTTGTATGGCAATTCAGCAATACAGTACAGTAGAACATGATGGTTAAGAGAGCACAATAATTATGTCCTAACTAGACACTGGTTTGGTAATTTAATGATTTTGCTATTTTGGAGTAATTCTAAGGTTTAAAAAATAAACTACATTCTAACATACAGCCAGTTTATGATTTGTAGAACACAAACCACATGAATGAATAATAACTAGTGCTCATCTATATTAAAAGCCAAGTGGAAAACTTAAAAGGGAAAAAAATAAATAATTGGCCTCTTTTAGAAAAAGATGTGTCAGTGGCACAGCTACATGGAAGTACCCAGTGTGAAGAGTCTAACATGTGACAGAGAAACTAGAGATTTACAAATACCTTTAACTGATAAGCTATCATTGATTTTGAGGTTATATGACTGCAGTCCAGAGATATTATATGACATTATTCATTGTTAACATCTCAGCATTACAGATACTATTCTACCACTGAAAAATACAAGAAAATATTTTCTTGTTCCCCCAAATGACGAATTCAGATACTAGAACTTGGAAAGTCTGAGAAAAATACAGAATACCCTACAAAGCAATAATCCTGCTGCAGCATGCAAGTCATCCATATGATTCTCCCTCCTGTTCTCCCATTGCTCTTATTGAACTAGCATACCCCTCCAGTAATAGACAGACAACAGACAGACAAGAAATTACAACCATTGCTATTGTAGGTACTAATTTAAGACATTAGTTACCAAAATGACCCATTAAGGGTGCATCCATATTGTAGACACCAATATAACTGCCATTGTTAAATACAATGGAATCCTGGGAGTTGAACCAAAGAGTGATGGTGCCTCACCAAACAACAGCTCCTAGGTTTCTACAGCATTGAGCAGTTAAAGTGGTTTCAAACTGCATTAACTCTACAGTGTAGATGGACCCTTAAAAAGCTATGCTTGGAACAAGACAAGTGGGACAAACTCTAAGAGAACAAAGATCATAAACAGCTGGGAAATGACTCATTATTGTCTCTCTGAAAAAATAAGAGTGAGACACTGCTGCTGGCTGGGGTGGGGGTGCAGTGGTGGCGGCTCTCTGCTTGCCTAGGGAAACCAACAAGATGCAGGGAAGGTTGGCTTCCCAAATGCATGTGTCTAAAGGGACTGTCCTCCACTTTCTATTATTACTGCAGCTCTTGAAGATATATTGCTCTTAAAGATACTTGTATATGTTGATCGATATTTTGATTTACTGACTATGTTGCCAAGGTAGTTAATCAAATAAATTATCTCATGCTGCACTCTGAAAAATCAAGCATGTGAACTTATAGAATCATAGAATCAAAGAGTTGGAAGAGACCTCATAGGCCATCCAGTCCAACCCCCTGCCAAATAAACTTGGTTTATTTTCATAAAACTTACCGAGAGGTGCTAGAGCTTTCGGACAAAGGCATATCCATACTGACCGGGCTACTACTGTTGCGTTCACTGCTTTCGTAGCCAGATTCCATCCTTTGGATTAGACGGGGATGTTGATCCATCATATGGTGTGCACCACGACCTAGGGCCCAATGCTTATACCTGTATGATTGGCTTGGTCTTGGTTGGGGGGTTGGTTCCTTTAACTCATCTTCCATAAATTCCTTACCTGATAAAGACAAAAAGAACATGAGGTTATAGCAGAAATCTGTAGACTGATACTTGTCCCCGGACATGCTGAACGTACTCACCCCTGCAAATCTGAAAAGCACTGGATTTAGTGTTGAGATACAAATACTTCTGGGACAGATGGAGATGCTAAGTGATTTCATTATAGAATAACTTTTCATGGGATAAGGTCCACCTTATGAAATATGGAATATGTTTTACATGTATGGGGATGGATTGTTAACAAGTCAGATGGAACTGAAATACCAAAATACATACATTTTTGTTAAAGCATTAATCTAGCCATGTTCATTCTAACACAAACATCCTGGCACTGGCAAGCTAAATGAGTCCTGCTTTAAGGTTGTTGGTTTTTTGTTTTTTAAAAAACCCGATTGTCTTGATTTAGGCCACAAGTCATAAAACAGAATTTTTCAATAGGTAATTTCACACAAGATTCTGTGGAGCAAAGAATCAGATGTAAAATAAAGTTGCTGTAAATTCAAGACTCATTTCTTACTAAGGACCTCATCAGACAGCTGCTAGGCTCTGTTTTTATTTGCTGTGGAAATGGAGTTCCACAGGAGTCCAACGGAGGTCATCACATGATGGAAAGTCACTTCCGGTGGGACTCCAAGGGGCTCCATTTCCGCAACACATGGAAATAAGTCTAGCAGTCATCTTCAGGAGTCACCTGACTCCAAGCATCAGAGCAGGGGAAGGACATGGTGAGTACATGTGATGGCTGGCCATCCCAAGAAGACAGGGAAAGATGGGAGGAAGCATGCTAAAATGGTTCCCTCCTCTTTCCCCCTGCTTTTCCCATTTTCCCTTGCTCCATCTGATGAAGTCCAAGATCAATTTATGACAGCATTCTTCAAACTACGTTTCTCTAAATGTTTTAGCTGACAGTACCAACAACGCCATAGAGCATGGCCACAGGTCACAAACGATGGATGTGTAGAAGAGGAGGATTAACAGAGAGGTTGGGGAAAATTGATTTAGAGCGTTCTTCAAATGTTAGTTAAGACCTACATTTAATGAAATCTTCCTGCAAAGTTCTACTGTTCAAGAATAGCATTTCTGAGTCAGCGAAATAGTATCCTAAGAAGAACAGGTTGCATACCTGTAACTGCAGTTCTCTGAGTGATCATCTATGCCCTCACACAAATTAGTTTGTGCCTGTGAGGAGCCATCACTGGACATCTAGAGCTGAGTGGCCTTGGCAAAAACCTCACCCTATCCTCTCTTCCACGCATGCTCTGTCCCGCCAATGCTACTCTCCCCTCAGTTCCTTGGTCTGCTGGGAGTGCAATACAGGACCTGAAAAAGAGGGGAGGAGGGGGTTTGTTTGAGGACACATGTAACCACTCTGGGAACTACAATTACATGTAAGCAACCTGTTCTTTTTCATGGTCTCTGTGCCTCACCCAAAGGGGTGGTTAGCAAGCTAATGATAGGCGGCAGCAGGTAAGATCACAGTAGAATTGAGGCCTGGCCGAAGGAAGCATCTGATTTAACTCTGGAAGCCAAATGATAATTACAAATGAACATGAATAGTTCAAAGCATTTAGCCACTTTGCAGAAATCAAGAATGGAATTATCTCAAAGTAGCACAGCAGAAATAAATACAGCATGGTGGAGTGTCATCTCAGTCTGGGAAATCGGCTTCTTGTCAACAAATAAACAAGCCTTCTATACTGTGATTGACTAGTTATACAACCTCTGAGTGAAAATCTTGAGAACTTTTCTGGGGTCTCCATAACAGAGAAACAAATGGTTTAAATGATGAAACAGTGCTATCCTTTGGATATAAAACACTAACATTCTTTGCACATCCAAGGATTGTAGAACTACTTCCAATAAAGACAAAGAGCTCTGACAAAATGCAAGAAATACAATATTCTGACATGTCAATGAGAGATGAACTCGAGTAAATAGGCAAAATCATGATAAGAAACACCTTTAACCTTATAAAAGCGAAAAAATGGTTCATCGCATTAAGTGTCTAATTCACTTGCTTTTACTGGATGTGATGGAGCCCCCAATGGTGCAATGGGTTAAACCCTTGTGCCTGCAGGACTAAAGGCTGAGAGGTTGGAAGTTCGAATCCGGGGAGAGTGGGTTGAACTCACTGTGTCAGCTCCAGCTCCCCATGCGGGAACATGAGAGAAAGCCTACCACAAGGATAGTAAAACATCAAACATCCAGGCGACCCCTTGGCAACATCTTTGCAGACGGCCAACTCTCTCACACAAGAAGCGACTTGCAGTTTTAAAGCACGCAAACCTAAAAACTAATGGGCATTTTTTGCAGATAAGTATATCTTATTTATTTATTTACTTACTTCATTTATATACCGCTTTTCTCACCCCTGGGGGAACTCAAAGCGGTTTACACAAAAATAATGGCAAAATTCAGTGCGTTACATACATAAACCAAAACGCAATCAACAACATATAACTAGCATAAAATCAATAAGACAATTCACCATAAGATAAAAGGATATTTAAAACATGAAATATAAGAATTAAAACACCTAATAAAAGTATTAAAATCACATTCCTCAAGGAAGAAAAGGTGCAACATTGCTCATAAAGATGTAGCAAGACATGTAACATTACACAATTTTTTCCACTTCTAGGCAAACGAGTTTTCTGATGAAAAACCCATGGAAGTTTTTTTAATATAGGTGCAAAGGTGGTCTAATCCTACATGCTGTAAACGTGATGCCCAGATGATACACCTCATACACACACATCCAGTGTAGGAGGAAGTCTAGTATCAAGAGGGACCTGTTCCTGCAAAAAAAGATCTAGTAGCACAGTGAACTATAGCTGATGAGATCCCTAAGGAGTTATCAATATGGCACTGGAACTGCCGGAAAGACATTTCACAATCACTTTGAACAATACTCTAATTGACAGAATAGATACAGCAGAAGATTTCAAATATAGTAGAAACTTAGTTTGTGGAGACTGATCACCAGCTCCTACCATCAAGTACAGCGAGAGGCAGGCAAACAGATAAGCAAACAAACAAGTCCATGGATGACACTCCCTGTCCATCTACAGTGGGCCAGAAAATGGTCTCAAACATTGACTCCAGGAGAGTGATTTACAGTATCGACCTTGATGTCATCTACACCAGCAGTATGGATGGCCACAAAATGAATGTGTCTTCTTATATATTATTACCAGAGAGAAAGGGTGAGAATGCATGCACCTTGATTGCTTATATAAAAGAGAGTTGTAGCACTGCCTGAAGTAACCTAAATAACACTGTCACTTGCTTCTGAAAGCCTGTGGTGTTTTTTTTTTTATATAATTGTGGAGTTTGTGTCTAAAAGGCACTCAGTTTTAAAAAATAAGTTATAGGAGGCAGCACATTATTGTCTAGGAGTAGAGTATTATGTACCAATAAAAACACATTTTATAACAAAAGAATCCATATCATCAGCATATTTTTATTCCTGGAAAATCTGTTCAGATGAATTTGGTACCTTTTGGAAAAATCTCCACAATTGTAAACTTTTTAGAGCACGAATATGCATTTACAAGAGATCAGTGACCCTAAACTCTGTAGTAAGCTCCCAAACCTAACGGGAATAATCTATAGTAAGTACTCAGATGCAATCTGGGGACTAAAATGGTATTTCAGAAATACGTTTTTGCCATTTCATGCATTATACAACTGTATAATATATGCTGTACTTTCCATTAAGGAACACTGCTGCAGTTGAAATGGAAAATCCTAAATTGGAGGCAATGTTAAGTTGAGCTGTATCATATAAATGACAAAGATGATTATGGCTATCAATCCTAGAAATCATTGTACTGCCATTAACATATAGTTCAGCTGGTCAACAGTACAAGGGCTTGCCTTAGGTTCTCTGCATGTTCCTTAGGAAGAAAGGCCCCTGCTTATGTCAATTCTTGGTATTGGCCAGAAGTCTGAGATCATGTAAGACGGCCCAAAGATTGTAATAAAGTTTAATCTGTGATAATATAATCAATTTTCTATGTAGGGAAATCTGTGTACATCTAAATTCTGCAAAAGAATGTCACCAGTGCCTTGCGTTTATTTAATAAACAATCATGAGGCTGTTGAGAGGCTGTAAAGAACTGGAGAAAAAATTACTTGTGCTTTTGTGCCATTTTTCCTCTGTGACTAAGTACTCTCCCTTCTCAACTGCTCAGAGAGAGGAGGGGAACTTATGAGTAAGAAGTGAAACGTCAGTCTACCCTCCCCCTTGCCCAAGCAACCCCCATCTTATCTGTTGTTGCTGCTGTGGGTGCTGCCTGCCACCTCTCCCTCCCTAGCTCAGAAAGGAGCTTAGTCCATTCCAGTCACCCAAAAGAAGTACCAATCCCCTCTACTCTCTCTATAATGGCAGGAAAATACCAAAGAGGCACTACCACTATTTTTCTTCAAGCAAATATTACAGTAGACCAGAAGTGGCATTGCAGAAGACACACACTGAGTCAGTTTTATTCAGCATTAGTATACGTATTAAATAAGTTAAGTGGACCATTTTTCATGCAATGTATGCAAATCTATCTTATCCAGTAGTTCCTCATGTAATTGATACATCAACAATTAGTCATTCAAATTGTGATATCCTTCTCTTGCATATGAGAATTGCAGGATGGAAAGGAGGACCTCAAAAAATCATCATCAGTTGATATACAGCTTTCAGACTGACATTTTCTTTGAGCAACACAATTGTATTTTCATCTGTTATCTCCACTCAAGAATCCTCAATGTCATGTTCATGAAAACTATATTTTGCTCCAAAATTTAAAGCTCTCTTTTATTCGAAGCAAACCCCAATAATCAAATACTAACAAAGAAAGCCATTACTAGTAAGTGCTTTCTACTAATTTCTTTGTTATAGTTGTGCTACTGGAAAGAAAACAACAATAACAGCATTGAAATGTTGGGTTTCCTATATACAGGTAAAGTAGAATACAATAAAAAAAATAAGGAGTCTAAGTCCTTCCAAAGTATTTTTGAGAAATGCTTTTCTTGTCCAAGAATCAGAATATTGTACATCAAAATAGCAAAATTTCTACACACATTTTCAAATGTGTATCTCACAGATAAATGCTTTAGCTGCACAAATTGGCCAAATATGTACATTCTTAAAGATTTCTACACAATAACAAATACAGTCACATTTTCTATCACGTAACACATGTAACCCAAATGCTTACCTGCATCTTCAGAGAAGGGACTGAGCTGTGTGTAGCCGCACTGTTTCCTCTTTTCTTTATTGAAGATGCTGTCTATGTTCAGTGACTCCCTTTTAGGTCTCCAAGTTGGACGGTACCTGCTAGAAGAACTTGATTTGGATTCACTACTAGTACTCTCCATTTCCCAGTCTCGAGACTGAGCAGGCAGACCTCCAGGCTTTTCACTCTGATCTTTCCCTCTTCGTGGAGAGCTCTGGCTTGTCTGTGATGGTCTGTTGTGGATCATGTTGCTGACTGTCTCTTTAAATTCCCTTAGCCTGCTGGTGCTGCTCAATGTCTTAGGGGCAGCTCTAGGGGCCTGTTTCTCCTTTAGTGTTTCCCCTGCAGAACAGAAGAAGAAGAGCATTAGAAACATAGCCAGCTTATTTTTAAATAAACAGCACATTTCACATCATCTGTTTGAAGTGGTAGAGCCACGAAGAAGACCTAAATCCATGCTCGAAATCTGACAAACAAAGTGATTTCAGAATAAAAGTGTTTTTCTTGCCTTCACTGTGATATCCTGATGGCTGTGACTCATCACCCTTTCTTCGAGATTTGCTGGAATTCCTCTTACGGTCTGTCAGTGAGCTCTTTTTAGAAATATGTCTCTGATTACACTCGCTGTCAGTCAAGTGTCCTGAGAGAACAAAATACACTTTAGATTGAAACAGCATTCTGATTGGCTGCTCTGCATTTTAAGAATAATACAGCTTGTAAATTCCTCACAAAATTGTGATATCTAAAACTTTCCAGTTGATGCCTGAGCACAGGAAAATGAAAAGTATGGAAAAGGAAAAGCTACCAGTGGTTCATTAATTAATTGTAAGCCACCATGAGATTTTGTTGTTGATATGTGCATTCAACTCATCCTTGATTTATGGTCAGCCTAAGGCAAACCTATCATAGAATTTACTTGGCAAGATTTGTTCAAAAGTGGCTGGCCATTGCCTTCCTTTGAGGCTGAGTGTGTGTGACTTGCCCAAGTTCATCCAGTGGGTTTCATGGCCGAGTAGAGATTTGAACCCTGATCTCCATTGTTATAGGCCAGACTCAAATCATTATGTCATGCTGGCTCCATCAGATATAGGATGAATGATAAATATTATAATAAAAATACATTAACTCTTATCTGCCATCAAAGGATGTTATCAAGAGGGAGCAGATTTGTTTTCTGCTCCCCTGGAGACTGGAACTATGAGAACAATGGGTTCAAATTACAGGAAAGGCAATTCCATCTGAATATTAGTAAGAACTTCCTGGCCATAAAAGCTGTTCAACAGTGGAACTCACTACTTCAGTGTGTAAGATGCCCTAATAATTAATATGATGGTGTTTTCACATATCCTCTCCCTAACAAGTAAGTTCAATGGAATATTAGTGTTCTGTGAATTTGCTGGTGAATGTTTCTCCATCTTAGGATAAAGTATGTTGCAAGAGAACATGAGAAGGCATGTCACTTTTAACTTCCAGATTAAACATCTTTTGGATGCAAACCTTTAATCGTGATGTACTGAGATGGATTTAAACTGACAAACACTGCCATAGATTGGAACTCCTGGAGTTATGCTATTGTGGTCCCAGCACCACAACATCAGGTTTGACACTGAAAACTACACCACTCCCTTGCAGCATAAACTAATTTATTTAAGACTGCAATACATTTTCATCCACTAGAGTCAACATTAATATTTGTTACAGATACAGAGACATGAATGGGAAATGTGTAAAGTGGTTGCACAATAGCAAAATGGAATACTAACAAAAACATGAAGTAGCAAAATCTCATGAAAATGAGCCAAATATCAAAATCACACAGAACGTACCAGAAAGCACAGGTAGGGAGGAGTGATTTACAAGGTACTGTGGTAAACAAATATTAATACACAATCTGGATTAATAGAATAGAGCACTATTAGTGGGACTCTGCAAAAGGAAAAGGTGAACAGCCAGGATGTTCCCGTTTTCACAGAGAACAGGAATGCAATGCTAACAGACGATAACAGATCACGGTTTGATAATATCCTTGTCTGATAAAAGGCCTGTGCTCTGAAACTGCTTTGCTGAAGCAACAGTCACTGTGTGTAAATATACCTCTTTAGCAACATGCTGTTAAACTTAGGCCCCTTCCACACAACTGAAAAAAAATCTGACATTTTCCGCTTTGAACTATAATATATGGCAGTGTGGACTCAGCTAACCCAGTTCAAAGCAGATATTGTGAGATTTTCTGCCTTGATATTCTGGGTTAGATGGCTGTGTGGAAGGGCCCATAGGCATCAATGCTGATTACACTTTTTAGATTTAATTCAGTTCAATATTTTTAAAGCAACTACACACATACAAAGTATTTCCCAGGTGAGAGAGAAATTATGATGACACATACTGAAGTGGGTAGCATCCTCCGTCCTCTCCAATGGACCTTCTACTTAAGAGTTTTTGAGATACTTATAAAGGCCTTTTTATTAGGTTCTTGACAAGAAAAAAAGTTCATTTCCTCAAATGAACAAAAGAACTACCTGTATCTCTGCTGCTTTGTGAAGCTGCATCATTTTCCATGTTGTAAATGACAGTGCCTTGAGAATCAGAAGAGAAATGACTGACCACAGATTCATGATGTGAATGTTTATAGGGATAGCTGTCTGTAGAGGAGTCTGTCCTAGTATCACTTGTGATAGAGGGTTCACGCCCTATTAAAAGGAAATCTTGTGAGAATTATCATCACAAATGAGAAGGGGGCTAAGTAAAAAAAACTGGGAAACAGAAAATTAATGAAAGTCAGGATATTGTCATCCTTCTTCTCCTCCTTGCTCCTTTCCCCTCGGTTTAGAGAAATAATAGTAATACCCCACCTTTCTTCCAGTTCGGGACTCAAGGCTGTTTACAACAACCAAAACAAACAATTGCAACAATAATGTAAAACATAAAGCAAAGGAATAGCTGTATGTGCATCCTGCAATGGAGCCAACAAAACCTGTTTTCCTCTAAAACACAGGGAAAATTTAGAGGAAAATATTTTTACCTCAAAAGCACAAAAGAATTTTTTTATTCACTGTAAAAGACAACTCAAATAAAATACAACAAAATACAAAATCACACAGGAATTTTGTGAATTACCAATGTAGTTCACAAAAGGATTAAGTCAGTTTGAATATATTGTTATTTGGATAATTTGTTGTTGTTAACTGCTGTTAAATTACCTTGACATGGTAATCCTATCAATAAGAGATCTCCATGTCACCTTGGCATTAACAGTCCTGCTCAGGTCTTGCAAACTTCTACATGTACATCACAATTACTCACAACACATACATTATGCACCATGATGACTAGGAAAAAAAAACAGAAAAAAGACAAAAATAAAAAAAGATTACCTGAGTCTTCACTATCATAGTAAGTTCTGGTATACTGCTGAAGATCCACCTGTGTGGGCAGATCCTGTGTTGATACTGGAGTTCCTCTTGGATCTGCATAAAGTAGTAGCAAGGGCTGATAATGTCCCTTAATGCACTTAGTAACAACATCTTTCCATTTAGGGCCTATCTGAAATTTTTGTTAAAAAGTACAAAATACATGTTAACAATATTTATCTTTGCTAAATTGACATTAATTTGCAGTTATATATCACTGATCATCCTAGGTCTATACTACGAAGAGAACTGTGTGGGTGCCTAGATTTGTGTCCCCCATCAGCCTTAGCCAGGACATCCAATGCTGGAAGCATCACTGTGACAGAATCTGGTCACAATTCCTAACTCAATTAAACTATAGCATTGAAATCAATGCACCTATTTCTCCTTAAGAACTTTGTAATGCTCAAGGTCCAAGTTAAGCAAATCAATAGCTGAATATTTTTTGTCACAATTATAATTTGTATTAAAGTAAATACGCAATACTTTCTGGAAAAAATATAAAATTTTGATCGGCAATTAGTATTTTATAGTCTGTTTTGATTGCCATCATATCATTAGTAAGACACTTGTTTTGACAGATAAACAGAAGCCCAACTTTGTCTGATAACGGAAAACAATTGTTAAGTTTTCTGATTGTGTTTTCAGGTTAACATACCAAGATAATACTTTGAGCTATTAAAGAAATCTTAAATATTTTAGAACAACGGGGAAGTTATATGCTAATGAAAATTTTAGTTTTGATTAAAGCATTTTAAGGATTGAAATTTGGATTGGTATTTTACAGAGCTCAATCCAATTGGCTAAAGTGTAGATTACAAAATTGGACTTCAAATGGAACAGGAGTTTCCTTTCCTCTTGTTCAGGAGCTATGCAACCTGCTAGAGCAAATTTGAGGGATGGGAAAACCAAACTAATAAAAGTATCTTTTTCATTGGTGGAAGAACTTCACTTGATATATATTGTGAAATATAAATTAGTTATGTAACTGTATCCAAAATTGTAGAGGGAAAATAGCATGCTTTTAAGGCCAAACGGTTGGTGTATAACAGAATGACTATATAACAAGGGTCTTGCTCAACATGCAGTTGGTTACCAGTACATTGAAAATATAGTACTCTGTTTTTCTAAAATGCAAATATTAGGATATTCTATACATTCCAGTGTGCTTGTCTTTTGATAAGAACAGAATAGAAATGAAAGGCTCAGATTTGAAGCAATAAATGTCTCCATGCATCGTAACAAGAAAAGACAATACATCTTCTATGTAAGAATCACAAAACGTTTCAATGCTAACATGGAGGTGGGTATTCAACTTACTTATGATACATTCAGATCAGAACTAGGGAGAACATTTTGGATATTTGGGGAGAAAAACAAGATAGCCAAACACTTAGCATCATTACTGTTTTATACACAGACACACATATCTGATTTTCTTACCTCTTTGACATGGGCATCATCAAAGTACATCCATTTACGAATCTTTGTTTGAAAGAAGAAGGTAGAGTAATGCTTTCCATAGTAGCATATCATTCCAACCAAATACAGTTCACATTGCTTTGCTCTGTCATCTGTTACTCTGAAGAAAAGCTTAAAAGGGAAAGAATAATCACGTCATTTTCCCATTAATTTGAAGATTGCCGAACATAATTTTTTAAAGCTCAAGCTCAGTTTTAAAATATGTGCATTTTAGTAGAAGCAAAACCAAGGAGCAGTGATAAGCAAACACAGGGAAGCTGCATATTGCCAGGGACGTAACACTCACATCTCCCAATTTAAGGCAAGTGCCCAAGCTGTGAATGACATCCTCTGCCAGATCGGAATGATCCGAGTCCCATACCAGACCAATTGTGATTATCTGTGGAGAATTCATCAACACGCGACGAATGCGAATTTTTTCCCCACAGTTGCTCTGAAAGTTGAAAAGGAAAAGTTTGACTGATATAATTAAAACATTCTGCTTCTGGCTTGCCTGCTTACTTCCTAAATGTTTAGGGGTAAACTCCAATTACTAGTCCCAAGTATAGGACACCCATTGAGTCAAGAAATGCCATGAAACTTAATTGATTCAAACAGCAGAAAAGAGCAAGAATGCAGAAAGGACAACATTAAASTCTTTTAAAGCAGCATGACCAAACATTTTTGGACATAAAATCCTTCACAACACTCCCCCCACCTCCCAGAACTCTAATTCTATCCCTGATTTTCCTGCAGAACTCAAACTCTAACTCTAAGCACTGTAACACCCCCCCCCCCCCCATTCTTCCTTTTTCCATCTACTCCTATTGCCTGGGTGTTCTGTATAATGTAGTAGGACTGGAAATAAAGATATTCAAATTTTGTTTTTAAATTGTACATTGAATTTCAATAAAATACTCTGGCATGGACCTTTAAAAAATTGAAAAAGATTTTAGAGATGGGCTGCTGTGAGTTTTCCAGGCTGTATGGCCATGTTCCAGAAGCATTCTTTCCTGACGTTTTGCCCATATCTATGGCAGGCATCCTCAGAAGTTGTGAAGCCTGTTGGAAACTAGGCAAGTGAGGTTTATGTATCTGTAGAATGTCCAGGGTGGGAGAAAGAGCTCTAGTCTGCTTGAGGCAAGTGTGAATGTTGCAACTGGCCACCTTCATTAGCATTGAGTGGCCTTGCGGCTTTAAAGACTGGCTGATTCCTGCCTGGGGGAACTCTTTGTTGCTTATTTTAACCTGTTTTGTTGGGCATGTCCCTTTGTAAGCTGCCCCAAGTCGCTTCAGGGAGATGGAGGCGGGGTATAAAAATAAAGTAGTAGTAGTAGTAGTAGTAGTTCTTCCTGCTCGGGAGGTATAAGATGGCCCTAATTGTTTCATGTCAGGAATTCCCCTATTGTTTCAGGGTTCCTCTTTATTTACTGTCCTGATTTTAGTTTTTTATAATATGGGTAGCCAGATTTTGTTCATTTTCGTGGTTTCCTCCTTTCTGTTGAAATTGTCCACATGCTTGTGAATTTCAGTGGCTTCTCTGTGTAGTCTGACATGGTGGTTGTTAGAGTGGTCCAGCATTTCTGTGTTCTCAAATAATATGATGTGTCCAGGTTGGTTCATCAGGTGCTCTGCTATGGATGATTTTAAAGATGTTTTCACAGAACCCTTATGATGCATTCATGGAACCCCAGGGTTCTGGGAACACAGTTTGGGAACTGCCACTTTAAAGCATTGAAAAGAGTTGTGCCAGGGTTGTGCCAATGTACTGAAATTACTTCAAAAAGATGTGAAGCTAGTGCAAGAGACTTACTGGAGACTTTGGGTGATTCTATTGTATTTTATTCTTAGTAAAATATTTTAATTAGCACATTAAAATTTGTATTGCTATTTTTATTATTTACAAGGACACTATCCAATAATCCCAAGTAAAAATATACACAAATGTTTTGAAAGCACCAACATTTAGCTTTTCAGGAGAAAATTACAGAACAACTAGTGGCTGAGAATATGAAGTTATGCTTCAATCTACTTCAAAAGCCTCCTACCTCCAAATGGTATGAAGAATAAGATAGATAGGAAGCCTTTTTCAAATACAGGAAGAGATAACAAAGGCTGAAAATATTTATTTTCATTGTATTCAGTGTTTCAAATTACTTATCCTTCAGATAAACATGACTCTCAGATTAAAATCTATTCAGGAAATACTACTACAGAAGAAAGAAATCAATATAATATTTACAAAAAATAACACATCTAATGGTGGCCTAAATATTTTATAGGTTGTGCTATCTAACTTAGCATCACCAAAAGGTATCAATCAAGCAAACAAGAAAAACAAAAACCTTTCTTACTGCTTGTTCAAGTAGTGCCTGGGGATATGTGGCTCTTACTATAATAGGACTTTTAATCAGAATGGAAGAAATATCGGAACAGGGCTATACTCTTTGTTGGCCAAATTGTGAACATTTATAGTTAGTAAATCTTAGTATACATATCATTTTCTTCATTTGGTCTACTGCTTGTATTTAAGGCAAACAACATATACAAACCGGGCAGTTTCTTAAGTCACCCATGGTGCTGGCATTCTGTAGAAGCTCTCCAAACATATCTGGAGTGGGTTTCTCTCGTCTTTCCAGCATGCAAATTGCCTGATTACTGTAAGTTAAAAAGATTATATAACAAGACTAACACTTCTATTTGAATTTCACAAATGGTACTTAAGTCAGTGACAAATTTAATGGATCTACTCTAGGTTTGGATTGAATCAGTACTAAAAATAATCTTTATACATTTATAGCAGGGGTGGACAACTATTGAAGGCAAGGGGGCTACATTAGCCCACAGGAAATGGGGAGGGATCCCCACGATATTCTCCCCATATTTAAAGAAACTCCACCCCACCCCCAAATGTTGTTGCCAAGTATCCATCAAATGCTCTTAAGGCACACAGAGGGTATTTTAGGGTTTGCTGGGACATTTTAGGCAGAGGCCAAGACTTTTTTATTTTGTGAATTTGTTCAATACTGTTCTAGTGTTTCAAACACTAGTTCTAGCATTCCAAAATTCGGCTTCAGTGGCAGGGAAGGAAACTGACTTCAATAATTTTGGTAAACTGGTGAAAATAATGCTTTGTCTAGTTGTGGAGATGTGCAAAGAAGAAAACTGAAACAAGGGGGATATGTTGTCTCTTAATGTACAAGAAAGAAAGAACTCACCAGAGTGAAGTAGTTGAGATATAATGCACCATCTGGATAAAGGGCAATGGGTCAGAAGTGGCACCACAACTTGTACAGACACACTAAATAAGAAATAGATATATTATTCAAACACAAAAGCCACATTTCCATATGTGTATTTCATCATTTCACAAATGAATTTGGAATGGATTTGTGTCATACTTGCTCAAATAAAGTCATTGCAAACTTCTGGTGTGATATGCAATGAGGGGCAGTACAAATGTCTTCCTTAGATTCATCTGCAATGTGGAAGTGAATCCTCATTAAGAGATTCTCCTGGAATTAAAGAGAGATAAGACAAAAGTCATATAGAAATTATTACAGATTAATGGCAAAATATGACAGTTTAAAGCCAGGAGGTAAAATTCTTCTGAGCATTCTAAATACATTGAAATGACAAGAAAAACACAGTTCCTATACATTAATTTAAATAGCGTAACATCTATTGACTTTCTACATTTCATAGAATAGAATCATAGAGTTGGAAGAGACCTCATGGCCCGTCCAGTCCAATCCCCTGCCAAGAAGCAAGAAAATTGCATTCAAAGCGCCCCTGACAGATGGCCATCCAGCCTATGTTTAAAAGCCTCCAAAGGAGGAGCCTCAACCACACTCCGGGGCAGAGAGTTCCACTAAAATCAAAAGTTATGATTTTGTCATTATTTCATTTGAATAACATTCAACATAGCATCTAAAGGCTGTGGAACGACCTACCGGTAGAGATCAAACAGCTAAATCAGCCTTTGGAATTTAAGACACAAGTGAAGATCTGTCTCTTTCGGAAGGCCTACCCCGATAGTCTTTAAACATAAACATGAATGTTAATGCATGTCCTTTGTTTTGTCTGTTTTAATATGTATTTCATAGAGATATGTTTTGGTATGTAACTTTTATGGAGGTACGTTTTAGTGTGTGTATCTGTAGTTTGCTGTGTTTATGTATTTTAATTGTTTTGTAACCAGCATCAAGCCATGAGGAGATATGGGTAAGAAATAAAATTATGATTATGATTATTATTAAAAAGAGAAGCCAGCAAAAACTAACAGATTTTGGCTTACTGACCTGGGATAACTTTATTCTAGTGTATTCAGTAATTTGTGGTTTAAATTCTATTGAAGGGAACAAATAAAAGATATCAAGTTACCATATTTCCTCACATAATAGCTGCTACTAGGTAAGAGTTGCACTTCATTTCTGGGGTGGCAATATAGGTATTTCTGTGTTTCTCATATAATAGTAGTTGGATTTTTTCACAGCATTAATAGTCACATCCCCTTCCCTTTTTTGGCCATTTGCAATTTGAGTAGTCCCTGTTTAGCAAAAAGGGATTTGTTTGTTTGCAAACATTTCATAGATGTTACACTCACAAAGCATTCAGCAGCATCATCCATGATACCCAGTTGGAAACGTTGCTCATCTTGAAAAGTCTTGGCCAGAGCACTACGAAGAGCATCAGAAGGTAACACTTTTTCATTGCTACACTGAAACTGGTTAAAGATACCCTAAACGAAGAGGGGGGAAAGAATAAGTAGTTACTACAAAAGAAAAATCTCCGAAGAGAGGAACAAAGCATACAAATAGAAATAGGAAGTTAAATAACCATTACATTTTCAGCTTCCTGTAATTAATTCCAGAGAAACTGATGACAAAGCTGATGACAAAGACAGAAGAATGCCCTGCCTCAGGGGAGCGTGCTTCAGCCATCCATGTTTAACCTTTTCACAAATGATCAACCACTGCCAGGAGGGACTGAGAGTTTCATCTATGCTGATGATCATGCCATCACCGCTCAAGCAGGGAGCTTTGAAATGGTTGAAAAGAAGCTCTCTGCTATTACTGCCTATTACAAGGGAAAACAGCTGATTCCTAATCCATCAAATCAATCAAAGAAAGCCCCAAAAGTAAGGCATTGCAAGAGTCTAAAAGGGAGGTTACCAGAGAAATTAATAACCATTGCAAGCTTATTTCTGTCCAGCCTAAATTGACAAAATCTATTCCAATCCACCAGGGCCACCTGTGTCTCCAATGATAATGGTGCATCTATTGTTCTCTCAGATATATTGAGCACACATTTATCTGTTGGTCTAATATTTTCACTAAACTATTCATGTTGACTATCAATTTTCTTTTCTCAACTGAATTCACTTACTTTGAGAGCACAAAATATACAGGAATCTCCCATACATTTGTGCGTTGTAAGTTGACGAAAACTACGTCGAAAAATATCAAGATGCCACAGAACCTGTAAAGCAAAGTAGAACAGAAAGTAATTGTTTTGAATGATTCAACCTCAGCATGCCTTATATAAGAAGCTTTGGTTAAAATTGGGTTATAAACAAGTTCAGCAAAAGCATTTAAACACACACACAAAAAATCCAGGGCACTGTATTTAATCTTTAACCTCCAAACTTTAAGCTAATCGACTCCAAAATTTAAGCTAATATAAACAGAGAGAAATACCGAGGATTCATAAATACAGATACAGACATATGTAAGACCCTATTATTCAAAATGGTCATTCGTAGATTAGTGGCAGTCCACAAGTCATCAGCTGTTGGACCATGGAAAGTTTCCAGAAAAGGAAGAAGCAACTGGAGTCAATGGGAACAAATAGAGCATTAGTCATAAAACAGAGGGGGAAAAACTATCCCCCGTGTCAGAAAGATTAAATAACACTACTATAACACTACACAACAATGGGATTGGGCCAAACATCCCACACAGAACCCCCATGATCAACAGAAAATACTGTGTTTTCTGGTGGTCCTTGGTGACCCTTCTGACACCCCCCTGGTGACCTCCCCCCTCCCCCCCCGGGGTCTTGACTTCCCAGTCAAACTCCCTTCACCAGGGCAAGAAAACATAATCAAAGCCCTCTTGACAAAGGGCCATCCAGCCATTCACACACACACATATATGTATATGACAGATGCAGTATCAAAGATCTGAAAGGGACCCCTAAAGAAGGACAATGATATGTTACATGTTCCAGAGGAGGCAAAGCAGGCAATCTCCACATCACCACTGGCAAAGAAATAGCAAGAAATGCTTTTTACCCACAAGCATAAAGATATTACGTATATTAGAAACCAACACTTTCTCATTATTTTATTTTCCAGATAACCAGATTGGGCCACAGCAACATGTGGCAGGGGACGGCTAGTAACATTTAAAAACAATCAGGAAAATACCGTTAGATGTGTTAAAAACAGTATAAGAAACAATTATGAAATGAATATAGCATTCTCTTTAAAGCCCTTTTTAAAAATCTTGCAACTCCCAAAAGCCTGAGGAAATGGTAAAGTGGGAACTATTCCAGCCTTCCTAGAAAGGGGACTGGAGAGCCCAGGGCTGCTATTGAGGAGACCCCATGTTGCATCCCTACCATTTGTGCCTGTTAAGGAAGTGGAACTGAGAGAACGGTCTCTCCAGCTATCTCAAGGACCAGGCAAACTCATATGGTGAAGCATAGTACATCAGATAGTCTGGATGTGAACTGTGTCAGTTTTCTAAGCCAAATCCAGAACTTTGATTTTTGTCCAGAACTGCTGTGATAACAAGGGAGTTTTGTCTCCCTGTAATCCACCCTGGTGAAGAATTTGGCTGCAGTTCTCTGTATTAACTGAAATTTCCAAATACTCTTCAAAGGCAGTCCCACAGAGAACATACTTTCAGTAACAGATGTCTCAGAGAGTGGACACTGTTAGAGCACTTGCTTTAAGTCTACAACAGCATTCTGGGTCACCACCAAAACCCATCTAGTCCAGGACAATTATGCTGTGATTTGCATTTCGGGGGGGGGGGGGGTTATTCCACTGAGCACCAAAAAAAAAAATAATACCAAGATGAAGAGGTGAAATCTGAGTCAGAGAGGAGGGTGGGGAGACCAGAATCTTGGCGGAAAGTTACTGGACTTGAAGAACTGATTAAGAGAACTGGACAAAAGGATCAGTTGATTAGGTTAATTGGGCATGTTTAGCCCTGGTTGTTTTATTGCTCTACCATTTGTTGGTATATCTGTAGAAGAAAGACAGGGTCAGATTTTGAACTAGATGTAAGTGGGGTGAGAGAAGACAGCCTGGTTTTTAATGGAGGCATGGGTCTATCCCTGATTGGGTGAAGTGTAATACCTATATTTGATTGAATGCAAATAGATACACGATTTAGAAGTGTTTAATTAGCAAAGGGAAGTTAATGAATGAAGAGACAAGATCAAGCACATGAAGGTTTTGGGGGTCAAGGAAAACATCCTCATTCCACCCTAACCTTGAGCTCTAATATAGTCTTTGAAAACTGTGACAAATGTTATAAATTTTAAAATAGATAAATATAAACATTTAGTGTATCAGCCCTTTACCTTTTAGAGTGACTTCATTGTGAATTTGGACAGCTTAAGGAAGATTATGTCTAAAAGAAAGTTCTTCAATTAAACTAATAAGTAAAACTTTTTTTAAAAAATCTTGAAGGACTTTTTATATTGTGAGTGTATGTCTTATTGGGGAATGTACATGTTTATTGAACTAGCAAGTATTTTTGTGTTATTCTTTGATGAAGCAAAATATTAGTGGTTGACAGCTACTCCAAGGTTCCCTAAATAATCAAATTATGTATTCGTAAGACTAGAAAAAATAATCCTTAACATGGGGACTCCGTTTAGATAAAGCAAGCTGTTCTGTCAGACTAATTCTTACAATCCTAGCATCCTTTGCATCTGTTTCAGGCCTGGGGGTAGAAATGCCCTCATTATGAATTCAATGGTTGTTTGCTACTGTAGCTGAGGAGGGTCAATGTGGCATAGTGGATTTTTTTGTGTGTGTCAGGAGCGACTTGGGAAACTGCAAGTCGCTTCTGATGTGAGAGAACTGGCCATCTGCAAGGATGATGCCCAGAGGATGCCAGGATGTTTTGATGTTTTACCATCCTTGTGGGAGGCTTCTCTCATGTCCCCGCATGGGGAGCTGGAGCTGACAGAGAGAGCTCATCCAAGCTCTCCCCGGATTCGAACCTGCAACCTGTCAGTCTTCAGTCCTGCCAGTCTTCAGTCCTGCCAGCACAAGGGTTTAACCCACTGCGCCATCGGGGGTTCCTCGGCATAGTGGATTAAGTGTTGGGACTATAATTCTAGAGACCCAAGTTTTGAATCCCTTCTCAGCCATGAAAACCTACTTGATGACCCTGGGCAAATCACTCTCTCTCAGTCTCAGAGAAAGGCAAAGGCAAATCCCATTTCAACAAATATTGCCAAAAAAAAAAAGGCTATTGCCTTAGAGTCGCCATGTCAGAAATGACTTGAGGGCACACAACAGCAGCAATAACCACTGAATAGTTAGACAACTGCTTTGTAAGGTAGGTTAAAGTCACAGGAACTCTTGCACCTTTGCACCAGTAGGAATATTCTATTTTCATTTGCTAAACACACAAAAAGGGTGCATGGGTACATAATTCCTTTGTCTTGATGGAGATTGAACTCTGATCATTGGACCCTACTGCAAGGAGCCATTGAAGACTGCTGTTGCCTGTGCACCTGAAATTGCTTTTGCAATGCCCCCTTGGTGGTATGGATTTGGCAGTCTGGAAAATGCCCTCCCTTTTATTAATATGTTTCAAATGCTTTCCCCAGAGAAGCTGCAGCATGGGAGCCTTATGTAGGTGAAATAGCAGTCGTGAGCCCTATAAAAGGATTCACAACCTAGTCAGGGATGAAGCCTGGAACAGAAAAATAAATCTTTTGTGTTGCAAGCCAGGAACCTCTACAGTCATACTTTAAAACAGAAGGTGCAGACTCATAATACGAACACTTGCTGCAGCTGTCTGCCAGAAAATGTGCAAGGATACTGGAGGTAAACAAACTCTGCATAGAAGTACAAGCCCAAAACATCCTAGTTGCTGCCAGTAGGCCTTCTACTCTGCATAGATCATGAGCAGACATGTATGGAATTGGGTTGTGCTTTATATACCTGGCAGACAAACACCCAAATTGGTAAGAATCACATCTAGGCTCATCCACTTTGCTTTGGACATGTGTAATCTAACCTCAAACCTACTTTGTTCATATAGCCTCACTCAATGATGCTCTGATGTTCTCCTAGACTGGAATTTAACTCCTGGGCTAAAGGTTTTCCACATCCCTAGTCTATTGGATCATCCCATTCACATTTACGGACATTCACAAACAACATCACAACATTTGAAAAAGTCATTATTCTTTTTAACAAGGCCTGTTTTAGTTGTAGACTGCAACTAAAATATGTCACTTAAGAGTATTTCAGTGGAAGACCCTCAGGGCCATCCAGTCCAACCCACTTTTGCCATGTAGGAAAAACACAACAAAAGCACCCCCAACAGATGGCCACCCAGCCTTTGTAGTAGTAGCAGTAATAGTAGTAGTAGCATCAGCAGTAATAACCAAAACCCCAGGGGCCATCCAGTCCAACCCCCTTCTACCATGCAGGAAAAACACACTCAAAGCACCCACCTGAGCACTGGAAGGGAAATAGGGTTTTGGAAGCAAAGAAAGTGGGGAGTCTGGGCAGCAAAGCAAAGAGCCTGGGTGATGAGGGAGGCAGGGGAGAAAGGGTCTATGCCCTGGGAGGATGCTGCTGCTGGTAACCCCTGCTCTAAGGGATTATTTTAAAAAAATGACGATTGCCAGCTAACTGGGCATTATTTGACCTTATCCAATATCAGGTGGATTACAGTAAAACACTAGGTCTCATTAGAGAGCCCAACTTTCGTTAGACAGCCAATTCAAAATGTATGTATCAAGACTATTCTGGCCTTGTTCCTTCTATCTAAACCCATTGTTGACAATATTATTCATCAGGTAAATTTAAAGAAATTGTAATTGCCATTTAGAAATACTTCTTTCCTCAATCTGCTTAATGAATGTATACAAAAGAAGACACTTTATTATTGTTGTGTGCCTTCAAGTAATTTCTGATTTGTGTCAAGCCTAAGTCAGCATGATGTAGTGGTCTGAGCACTGTACTATGACTCTGGAGACAAGGGTTCAAATCCCCACTTGGCCATGGGGAAATTCGCTTTCTCAGCCCCAGAGGATGGCAAAGGCCCTCTGAACAAATCCTGCCAAGGAAACCTCATGAAAGGGATGCAAGAAGTTTGAAACGACTTGAAGGCATACAACAATTAACAAGATAAACTTGTAACAGAGCTTTTTGGCAGAAAATTTTTAGTGAGGGTTTGGTCTTGCATTTTCTGAGACTGAGAGAGTTGGATTTACTTAAGGTCAGCCAACGAAGGGTTTCCACTGTATTTATACAAGCAAAAATCAATCATGTTGCAAAGATTCATGAATGGAAAATACAAAAGTAGATTAACAGATTTCCACATGCTTTTTCTGTAATAAAACCCAATCTTGTGTAATAATTGTAGCTGTAGCTGTTTTACTTTAAACACATGAGCATTATATTATACAGAGGTGAAAAATTAAATCTAAGAAAAGAATCATGTTTGTTTGGATTTTTTGGCAAAACTTTTGCAAGTAGATTAGACAGCAAGCTTAGAAATTTATGGTAGGGTACTATTTGAATCTCTCATAAGAAGCACACCTTCACAGTAACACAGGAAATACACAAACATATAAATGAGGCACAGTTAGATTTCTTACCTGTAATGCACTGTTCAGAAAGCAGCTATTCTGTCCTGGCTCATTGCTGAGACCTTTACTTGGTGCTATAGAAGTTGTATTACGCGGAGTAAACATTCCTTGCACAGTTCCCCGTCCTACAGAAAAATAATTTCTTTTCCAAGACATGCTTCACATTTAGGTCTGTAGTCTACAGACTGACTTACACCTGCATTTGAGCTTTAAAATGTTCTATTCTTGATGAGAAAAATGAGAAAATATTTGGATGATGCTAAAAAAGAACTTTTCCAGACAGCTCCTTCATGAAGGCATACGTAGTTGGTATTCTTCTTTAAATCCAGTCAGTTACAATTTCATAAAATCAGAGATAATATAGCAAAACACTCGGTATCTGAAAAGATGGAAGGCAAGCTCAAAAGGTCCACAGGTCTTCAAAGGCATGAGTAGTGCCGAGCCATCTTTTAGTTTAACAAATATTGTAACTCCAAAGGTTGAAAAGGTTGAAAACAAGACAAAAAAATGTCTACGTGTTCAGGTTCACTCTTCTTAGATGCAATACAGTGGAACAAAGTTTGTGAGCAAAATTTAAAGCATTTGCTGTTAGTTGCAAATAGTTCTTTGCCAGAATATTGATGTGGGCAGTTTTGATTTTTTTAAGGCTAAACAAAGGAATGACTAAAGAATCCCAAACATTAATTGGAGCTGAAGTTGTCTTATTGCAGTTCTTTTACTTTCCCGTGTAGAATCTGAGTGGTTTCTTCTGCTGTTTTTCCTCTTGCAAGTAGAATGCCTGGCTGTGCTGGAAAGTTTGAGAGAGAAAGCGAGAGAGAATAATCAAAGGATTGCGTCACTTAATTACTCATTTGGTTTTGTTCTCTACTGCCAAGATCAGTGTTGCCTCACCTCCTACCAGAAATTCAGGAACAGAATCAAAACAGAGCAAAACAAAATCCTTACCACAGTAGAACCATTGTAGTTTAGAAGAGTCAACCACAACTGCGTTTATAGACACTTTCATAAATGAAAACTGGCATAAAAGGAAGCCATTCAAATTTTAAGAAGCTACTACCATTTCTACACATATCCTACCAGATACTGCAGTATCTCTTGCTACACATATCCTACCAGAGCCAATTATTTACAGAGGTCTTATTACAAATGGCAATAGCTGATTCAGATTGCAGATAAAGTTCCTATAGCTTTGCTATTCATATAAGGGATAAGAGGCTGAGCCTTCCTAGAGATTTATTCTGGCATTACTTGCTACCTGAAGCCAAAATTACTGATTGATGTAAGAAGAACAGGAGCCAAATCATCATGGAAGTGTACTTTGAAGAATTTGTGATATAAAACTTTGTTTTAAATAGCCTCTTTGCATAGCATGCATTGCAGTCAATTTACTTAGCATTTCAGACATTTTGTGAACATTCCTAGCTTAGTTCTATGTACCGCTTATATGGTTCATTTTTAAAATAATGATATTGCTCTATGTTTGCTCCCAGAAGGCAATTTATTACCATTAATCATACATGTATTTGTATTTGAGCAAGTCTGTGTTACTAATTACATTACTTATAGAGAAGTGAAATGCTACCACTTATATTATTGTGTCAGCTCCACTGGCTGCCGGTCCACTTCCGAGCTCAATTCAAAGTGCTGGTTATGACCTATAAAGCCCTATACGGTTCTGGTCCAGCTTATTTGTCTGAATGCATCTCCCTCTACATCCCACCTCACAGTTTAAGATCATCTGGGGAGGCCCTGCTCTCGCTCCTGCCAGCGTCACAAATACATCTGGCGGGGACGAGAAACACTGCCTTCTTGGCTATGGCCCCCCACCTGTGGAACTCGCTTCCCACTGAGGTAAGATCGGCTCCGTTTCTTCTGGCATTTAGGAAGAAATTGAAGTCGTGGTTCTGGGACCAGGGTTTTGGACAACAGGCCTAGATAGCACTTTGGACGTGGAATTGGATATGGAATTAACTGGAATGATGTTATGGCTATTAATACTGTTTTTTACTGTTTTAATGAATGTTTTACTTATTGTTTTAATTGTTATTATATTGCTGTCTTATATGTAGTGGCATCGAATTGCTGCCAAATGTAAGATGTCCTGAGTCCCCCTTTGGAGGTTGAGAAGGAACGGGATACAAATACCGGGAATAACTAAATAAATAATACTGATCAGAGTTCTACGTTTACTAGAAAACAAGGACCCTATCACCTCCCGTAATTCAACTCTTTTATTTGGTAAAATGGACCCAGCAAAACATGATGCTGCATCACTCAGACTTAAACCAAACTAGGAAGCTACTTGGGGACATGTCCTGCTGGGCTTGACACTGAATTGATGAAATTATACATTGTATTGTAGAAATGATACATTTATCAGATGTAGGAAGTACAGAATAAGAATGGCAGCGGACAAAATATTTACAGCATTTTAACTTAAAAATTGGAGAACCAATAGGCAATTAGTTAACAAATGTGCAAATGGTGGTTCTTATGTTCTTGATCCAGCTCTAGTTAAGGTTTACAAACACTCTTCCCAGTCCCAAAGTAACATTCTAAGTGCCCCAAAACCAAAACCCCCAAACAGATAGCTACAACATATTTGTAAGCTGTTCTGGGCCCCTTTTTGGTTTGACTAAATTTCTTTAAATAAATAGATTAGCAGAAAAGCAAACCTCTTGGTGTGGATTTTCCCCACATAGTTTCATGTACGTTTTGCCACAGGTTGTTGCATTAACATCACAGAAGTTACATTCCAAGGTCCAAATAACACATTACAGGCAATGACAATACTTGTAACTTCACCAGTATGCTTTGATATGATGATTTTTTTTTTGCATATAATCCAAAAACTGGGAAACCAATCCCTATTAGTTAACCAAATAAAAAATGTGTATAACTGAACTGTGGAAATGGCCATTGAATAAGTATTCATGAATAAGTACTGAACACAAGTATTGATTGGTATTCATTAATTAAAAATTGAAATTCAGATAAGCAAAATGCCTTAGAATCAGGCTTAACACTGGCAATTTCTTTTTATAAATGCTATAATTTCAACTGAGCAGGAGTTAAGGGACTTAAATTTATGATTCCTCAAAAAGGACAACTAGAATACTCCATCTGAGAAAAAGGTGTCATTCAAAAAGTTTTGGTCATGTACATTTAGCGTACAGGCACTCCCCGAGTTACAAACATCCAACTTACAAACAATTCATAATTAAGAACAACAGGAAGTGAAAGAAATCTGCCCCTAGAAAGGGAAATTCACTCTTGAAAGAGTTATCATAGGAAAAATGTGTCTGCTGAAAGTTTATCTACAATCTTTGTTTCCACAAAAAGCCCATTTTTTTTCAAAATCCAATTATTACAGGGACAGAAACTGAACAGGGGCACAGACAGCAAAACAAACATTACAGGGGTGTTAACTTTTCCTTATGTTGTCCCAAGCTATGTGTGTGTGTGTTTGGCTGTAGTTACACTTTTAAAAAAATGTAACTGTTCTGACTTACATACTAATTCAGCATATGAACAAACCTACAGAATCTAACTTGTTCGGAACTTGGTGATTACCTGTATTAGTTGACATAAAAAGTGACCAATGAAAAGGGAATAGTCATACTCCACAGACCCTGATGAAGTAAATCCATTTCTCCTCCACTTGCCCAAGATACTTCCTGAAGATCCCCACTACTACTATCTCTCGAAGTGTTCATCAGTGGCATTACTAGGGTCAATGGTAGCCAGCGCAGTAACACATGGTATCACCTCCATGGATCTCCTGTTATACCAGACAATACCACAATATTGTAGCTAAGATACCAGATTTGGCAAAAGTGGCAACTATTTAAAAAACAACCCAGCAGTAATGAACACAATAGTGTGAGATTGCAGCATGTTTGGATGAAACCACATAATTCGAAGTGTCATTCTAATGGGACACTAATGACAGCTCAGACTAGAGTACCTGGGCATTAAAAGGTTCAACCCCACCCCCCAGCACAGGGTTTTAACCTTGAACTGATATTGACACAGAACATGTAAGCTGGGTAATTCCCCCCCCCCATATATATCTGCTGAAATATTACAGAAATGTTTTACAGACCATGATTTTGGTGTCACCTCTCTGATGGTGTCACCCGGTGCATTTCACACCTTCTGGATGCCACTGGAATTCACCAATGTTTCTAAAGAAAAGAAAACATTCTAAAATGTAGAGATCTCATGGGAAGCAGTCAATCTGATGAGAATGGTCACAGGGTGCCAGAAACTACCCAGAACCAAAGTTAGAGGCAATTTAAATCTGAAAAGCATCAGCACAGTACAATAGCTATTCTGTTCTCCAGTGGAGAAAAGGCCACACTGAAGCCACTTATTAAGATTCTGCAACAAGCACAAGGAAAAGCTTACAGACAAAGCAACGAAGCTGCAGGTGAAAAGAAATCGTGAGTGAAAGGGGGGACGCTATTTTGAGTTGTAGATATGCAGAGTGCCCTGTGACCTAAACATTATTTCAAGGCTCCCTCCAGGTTAAACAAGTTGAGAAAGTCTTCCATAAATGGAATATGAGCTCTGATTGCTTTGATGTGGTGTCAATAGTCGGTTGTGACCTAGACCCACTTCAATCCTTCCCTTCTTCAATCAAACACACCTTCAGTCAATAGAGCAGCTCACTCAGAATCTTGGAACATATGGAAAACTCACAGAGAAGTCCTGCTATTAAGAAATTTGATTCTGTGCTGCTCAAGACAAGAAAAGAAATGTTTGCTCCCAACAGAGGGGGGGGGGGGGRGAGAGAGAGGAAACCTTCCAATGTTTTACTTGTAGTCAACTAAGTAACAAGTAAAACTTTTCACGTGGTTAAGGTACTATTATGTATTTCTCTTTGTACTATATGAACTATATAGCAGAAGAATCATTTCTTTAAAGAGTTGATTTGGATCTTTTGTAAGGGTATGGGTTAAGACCGACTGTAGTGTATAAATGTGTTTCCTTTTATACATCACTCCAAACAAACTTTTTGGGGATTTTTTTTTTAGCTATATGGGAATTACTATCTGAACTGCAAATAATCAAATGAGCAAAATAATGTCTATCCATAGGATTAGACTCCAGAACTTCCAGTTGCCAACTCCCAAATTATATCCATTATTTCCTACTAGAATATGGAAAAGATTTTCCAGAAAAAAGGCCAAAGATCAATGTGTCTCAATCATTATCTGAAAATTTATATTTTCCATTTTATTTCAATAAAGTAAGGATTTGATTACCCAAATATTAAGTCTCAACATCCACGTGAAGAATGAAGGCAAAATTCAGCTTTTGTAGAAGTGTCATTCCTTGTTCTCAGTGCACCAACATTCAACAATATTCATTTACAGAATGTAAGTACAAACACAGAACAAACCAGTTCTCCAACATTCCTAATCACAGAACGCTATAAAAGAATTAGTACAGAGAAGCTTCTGATGCCAACACTACTTTTTGCTTAAGACACAAGAAAGCTTTGATGCAATGAATTAAGTGAATTTACCAGCCTTAAAATATAGATGTTAATTATAGGGGTGTTAAAAAAAAGAGAAAAACAGCAGACCCACAACAAATGATAAAACACAAGTGAATATAGTATTGTATTTTTCCATAATATAATTAATTCTTGAAATAAAAGACAGAATAGTCCAGCTTCTTCCTTTTGCTGTATATTGTGTGTCTCTTGGGGATGGCAAACATGATAGGTGCAATCTGGTGTGAAATTCTGAAGATGGAATAGATATTCGATACCCCCAATTTCTAATTATAATTATTGTTGTTTGAACCACCACAACTGACCAAGTCACTGGTGTTTTCTGAGAATGAATGGGGGAAATATTATTTGATCTTCAGTGCCTGATTGGACATTCATTGGAAGATGTCAAGATTGAGTCAGGATATTTACTTTGGAAGTTATTAGGGGCCTTGGATGCAATTGGGATATCTCTCTCTCTCTGGATAATTGTACTGGTGGTCCAATTTGGATAATACAATGGTGATAAAGTAAGTCATACTGATAATGAACCGGGCAAGGTACCCATGGTTAAAATCCTCATATTAAATACCTGAAGGTTGAGAGTATTGATAGCTATAATAAGGAAAATATAATCTGGTTCTGCATTTGTAATATCCGGAATAATTAGTAGACCCCTTCCATCTCAATGAACACTTGAGCTGTACCAGAGTCAATGATACAGAGGTGACTTGATCTCAGAATATGAGCAACAGAGCATTTAGTCTGAGAACGATGAGGATAAATGCTGACTAGTGGAATAGCTAAGCAGAAAAAGAATCAAAGGAGGATCTTTCTCCGGAACATGTTTGGGAGAATGATCACAAGAAGAAGGTATCAGAGTTGGCAATTTTTGACATTGAGCTGAAAATGAATCCATTTACTCTCCTTCTCAGGCAATACCAGCTTCTACTTCTCCAATTTCCAATGACCAAAGGGATAAAAATCTATATAGTTCCTCAAGCATTGCAAAGGAATGCACCAATTCAACTGCAATAACTATTATCTGTTGAGCTCCTGGCATGTTATTTGGTATGGATGACTGCATTGGCAGATCTAAAGACATCAGAACTGGAGACTCTCCAGGAATCCTCAACATGATTAACTCTTCTTTTGCATATACTACTATTTGTCCATCCTATGTCCAAGGATAAAGCAAGAATGACCAGGGATATATCTTGATAGATGGAAAGACAACCAAATAGGAAGTAAGCCAAGTCATATTCCACTGAGATGATTCTGTGCAACTACCAGAATCAAGCAGGGATCATTTCATTACTGTTCTCTGTCATGGGGCATTTGGAGGTAAAACAAAGCAAGGCAGAGGAGACCTTATACTGAACACTGAGCATCTAAGACACTGTCTTTAATCTAGAAACTTGATTTTTGTATGTCTGAGTGGTAAAATTTTTACAACCAAGATACAGAATGAAAACACCTGTCACTTTCAGGAGGTACATTTCTTGAAAGAAGAAGAGGCCATTTTGGAACAACAGTAACAGCTAAATCGAGAACCTGGTAGGTAAAGGGGCTGAATCAAACCAGGAGTCTGGAAGGTAGCCAAAAATGAGGAAGTAAGTGAAAAGATTTTCAAAAATCAAAGCTAGAAAGCAGTATGAAAATCAATTAAAAAACAAAGAGAGCAGCTTAAATCAGAATAGCTCCGAACAGTTCTAACAATGCTGCTGACACAGCGAATGAAAATGAATAGAGGGTTTAGGCAACAACAGCGGGGGTATGGCACTCAGAAGGTGGGCAGAGCTACCGCCAAAAAGCTTATGTTAATATCTCCAGAAGCTTCCAAACAGTGCACCGCAGAGGAACAGATAATCCATTTGTGCGCAGGGAGCATACAACCCCCCTGTTGCGCCAACTCCACTGGCTACCGATCTGCTACCGGGCTGAATTCAAAGTGCTGGCGTTGGCCTTTAAAGCCCTAAACGGTTCCGGCCCAAGATACCTATCTAACCGCATCTCTGCCTATGAACCCACCAGGACTTTGAGATCTTCCGGGGAGACCCTGCTCTCGATCCCGCCTGCTTCTCAAGCTCGGCTGGCGGGGACGAGAGATAGGGCCTTCTCGGTGGTGGCTCCTCGGCTGTGGAACGCCCTTCCTACGGACATTAGACTCTAATGGTATTCCGCAAAAAGTTGAAGACCTTGATGTTTGTGCAGGCGTTTGAGTAATTTAGTGCAATCTGGTAATGGAACATAGGAATGGAACAATGGACGACGAACCTGGACTACGCTTGGATGATGAGAAGATTGGGTACGGTTGTTTTTTGTAATAATTGTGCATTGTAATTGCTTATTGGTAATTTATGGATAATGTGTTAAGTCAATTGTTATATGTTGTATGGAACCACTGCTGTTTCTACTGTTTTTACTGTTTGTGAACCGCCGTGAGTCGCCTTCGGGCTTGAGATACAGCGGTATATAAGCAAAGTAAATAAATAAATAAATAAATTGTGTGAGTCATATACCCCAAAGAAGAAGTTTTAGTTTTGGCAGTGCAAAAAGTCATTACATAAGTTAATTTAAGAAGTGTAAAACTGCTCCAATTTCACAATTTGGATGAAAGGCTACAATAAGTAATTATTTGCTGAATAATTAATTATTCACTGCCACCACTTATTTAATAACTGAAAATAAGACTGCCACAGAGAGGCCAGTTCTTTTTCACCACTACCTCCAAATATTCTGCCTTCCATGTAGTCTGTTCGCTCCTGATCTGGTATGTCAACAGTTGCAGTGACATTGGGGGTGAAATTCTCCCCCTCTCCATTCTATTTATTTATTTACAACATTTCTACCCCGCCTTTCTCTACCCCGGAGGGGACTCAAGGTGGCTTACACATAGGCAACTATTTGATGCCATAAAACAATGCATAATTAAAATAAACATTTAAACAAAATTATAAAATACATTAAAAAATTAAAAACATTTAAGAGAATACCTTTACAATTAATCACGTAATCCGGGCCATTTCGATAGTCATTTTACATCATTCCATATATATCTATTGCACAAGTTCTCCCAAGGTTTGGTCACAGAGCCATGTTTTCACTCTCTAATGGAAAGTCAGGAGGAAGGAAGCTGATCTAATATCCCCGGGGAGGGAATTCTATTCTAAAGCTGTTTAATTAATATTTTGCAGTATTATTGTCTTTTAAAAATTAACCAGTGCTGAAATTATCAAAATATTTCAAAGAAGTAATAAAATAAATTATAGAGCAGACAGAATACAAGAGTCAGGGTTATAAGAGCATGTGGAAGTATGATTGCAGGAACACAGATCAGTGTAGTGCTGCAATTATGAGAATGAAGGCAGGTGTGCTCATGCCAATACATATCTGGAGCAGTGAGCATGTGACTACCATGGAATAGCAGCTTCATGTGCTAAAATCCCATTTGAAGATATCATGTTATGTTCACAGCCTTTAGCAGATTCATTGAGTCAAGGGTCCACAAATCCATTGGCCAGAGTTTCTTCTGAGGCTAAAGAGTAAAGCTTTCCAAACCTTTCATGATGGTGATACACTTTTTACACATGTATCCTTTCGTAACATGGTAATTGAGTTTAACCAGCAAACTGGAGGTTAAACCAACTCCTTATAATACATACAAGAAATAATATATTATAT